GTACTTACATACCATGTAACACCACTTAATAATGGTCCAGGATGGACCGAAACGTCGTAGGTTCTCCATTTTCAGATGTGTGGTGTGGACACGACACATACCGCGGTGGTCAGCGGTGGTATGTAAGTGTAGCCACTGCCTGAAAAGTCTTATCCACACAATCCACTCCCTACCAACCGCGGGAGTCAGGCAGCGGTGGGACCGCACGCTGGTATCAGTACTCAGCGGCCCAATAACCCTCCACACACCCTATACGTCACCCAACACCTCTCTCGCCTGCTCCCCCACACCACACAACAACAACGTTTTATGGTTATCATCGTCAGTGAATGCTCACGTTATGGTAGCTAGAAATATACTGAATTTTTTTTTTTTTTTGAGGGAGGAGAAAACCCCACGGGCGTCCCTCTCCAACGTTCACTCCCGGCCTGGAGCTGCCGCCCTCCTGACGCAGGACAGTGCCGGTCTGGTGCTCCTCTTCCCCTGTGACAGTCCACGGTGAAGGTCCTCCCCCTTGAGGCTCCGGGGGATGAGCTTCAGCTCATGGATTCTGACTCTCAACCTTCTGTCGAATGGTGGACATCTTTCGCAGCATTTTGAGCACTGTTGTCCAGTGCTGGCATCGTTCTCGACTCATAATCGAGGATCTTGCGTTCGATTCTTGGGTGGGACAGATGAAATGGATGAGCACATTTCCTTTCACCTGATGTACCTGTTCACCTAGCTGTAAATAGACACCCGTGAGGAAAGGGTGTAGCGGGAAGAAACGAGTGTTGGTATTGTAAGATTGTTGTTGGAGAGGAAGTTGACTACTGTAGTGATGGGCTGGAAGGGGTGGATTGTGGTTGGCGCCTCCCAGCGCCAACCACAATCCAACCGCCTTTGGAGGCGGCCAACCGCCTTTGGAGGCCAACCGCCTTTGGAGGCCAACCGCCTTTGGAGGCCAACCGCCTTTGGAGGCGGCCAACCGCCTTTGGAGCCCAACCGCCTTTGGAGGCGGACTATGGCTCTGGGTGTTACGTGGACTTGTTTGTTTACCAATAGTCGATGGGAGTGTCGTGACATTTTGAGTGTGATGGGAGGTGTGGGCGTTACTGGAGGCAGGGGGCGGCTGTTGCCTTGGAAACCCCTTCCACCCCCACCCCCCCTCCAGAGTCCGCCCCCCCCCCCCCGAGACCTCCGTCCCACAGTTAAATGTTAAAACTGGCACCGCCAAAATTAACACTTGGCTTCGTGCAATTAAGACGTGAGATATGATGCAGGGCGAGGCACAGGTGAGGTGGCACCGGTGTTGCCGGGAGGAGGAGGAGACGTGAGGCTGCAGGAACACACCAGAGGAGACGTGAGGCTCCAGGAGCACACCAGAGGAGACGTGAGGCTCCAGGAACACACCAGAGGAGACGTGAGGCTCCAGGAATACACCGGAGGAGACGTGAGGCTGCAGGAACACACCAGAGGAGACGTGAGGCTCCAGGAACACACCGGAGGAGACGTGAGGCTGCAGGAACACACCAGAGGAGACGTGAGGCTCCAGGAACACACCGGAGGAGACGTGAGGCTGCAGGAACACACCAGAGGAGACGTGAGGCTCCAGGAACACACCGGAGGAGACGTGAGGCTCTAGGAACACACCGGAGGAGACGTGAGGCTCCAGGAACACACCGGAGGAGACGTGAGGCTCCAGGAACACACCAGAGGAGACGTGAGGCTCCAGGAACACACCGGAGGAGACGTGAGGCTCCAGGAACACACCAGAGGAGACGTGAGGCTCCAGGAACACACTAGAGGAGACGTGAGGCTCCAGGAACACACCAGAGGAGACGTGAGGCTCCAGGAACACACCAGAGGAGACGTGAGGCTCCAGGAACACACCAGAGGAGACGTGAGGCTCCAGGAACACACCGGAGGAGACGTGAGGCTCCAGGAACACACCAGAGGAGACGTGAGGCTCCAGGAACACACCAGAGGAGACGTGAGGCTCCAGGAACACACCGGAGAAGGAGCAGAGGAGGCAGCAGATGTAGGAGTCAGACAAAAAAAATAAATGAGAGAGACGTAGGAGAAAAATTAATTGGAGGGAGAGGAAACTATGAGCATCAGGCCAGGTCCCACATTGACACAGTAAGATAACAACAACATACTGGAGTGAACGACTGGCTGCCGGTGCCTCTCCCTCCCTTGAGGTGCCATATAAGCCACGAGGAACCGTAAACCCGGACTGGCAGCCGCCCTCACCTGCCTCCCATATCTCCCAGGCACCACAAGAACCTCCCAGTGTACCTGCCCGACACGCAACTTGCGGCCACACCTCTCACCTTCAAATTAGTCAGGGGCCACAACCCTAAAATAAGAAAACCACCTTTGTGGGGTCCCGCCTTTCCTCCCACTCCCCCCCCCACCCCCCACCCCCCACCTCATGGGGACCCCACCCTCTCCCCCTGTTGCTAATCTCTATGACTATATTCCCATATTTTGTCCCACTCAGATAATAAGTTCGTCATGACCTTGATGTTTTAGTGTTGACATCAGTGCTCTTATCTGTACCATAGTAGTCTACGTCCTCGACTCACAACCGAGGGGTCCGGGGCCCAATTCCAGGCCAGAACAGGAACGGTTGGGCGAGTTTCCTTTCACCTGATGCAGTTGTTCATTCAGCTAGCAGTAAAATAGGTCCCCCCGGAAGATAGGCCACTGTCATGGGTTGCTTCCTGGGCAAGTGGGTAGTGTAGGCTAGGGGGGACCGCGATAACCCCAGGTACACTCTTCATGTCCCTCTGATGGGGGAACTAAATCGTTTGTGCTCACTTGGGAGTTCCCCGTGGGTGGTACTGTAACAAGTCGTTTGTCTTAGATGGTTGGACTGGTCAGTGTTGCAACGCCCTCGCCTCTTTACAGGTCATCGATCGATCCCCCGATAACCCAAGTGGTTGGGCATCTGTTCCTCCTATCCCAGCTCCTATCCTGTCCATGTATTCCCTGCTTCATGGTCTGTTCAGGCTCCGCGTTGTCATTCCTCGACCTCCTGTTTCTTCCGTGTGCTATAGGGTCATTGTGGCTTAACCCGACCTTTTTCCCGCGCTTTTGTTGGCTGCCATATGGCCCAGTGATCGCTGCGTGCTGTGTGTAAAGGCGCGGGCGAGGGGGGGCGGGGTGTCACTTGTTCGTTTATGCTGTGATGTCTAGCAGATGCTGTGTATTCTGGGTTTTCTTTTTTACGCGGATAACTTTCATCATAAAGCCTGCTGGCAATGATTCACTTGGCGCCTGCGTTACGAAATCTGCCATCACGTCGGCAGCTTTCTCGGCAGTTGTGGGTGCGATCTCGAAGTCGTCGACGACCTTCATAGGTGTGTGAACGAGTACGAGAAGAGTGCTAGTGTTAATGATCTATGTTAGTGGTGCTGATCTATGTTAGTGCTGCTGATCTATGCTAGTGCTGCTTATGTGTTGCCACAAAGGAACATTGGTCGTGCTGGGCTGGAATGCTGCGGGGCTTGACTTGCAGTAGCGTGCTGAGGACGTCGCGGTAGCGTGCTGAGGACGTCGCAGCAGCGTGCTGAGGACGTCGCAGCAGCGTGCTGAGGACGTCGCAGCAGCGTGCTGAGGACGTCGCAGCAGCGTGCTGAGGACGTGCCGGCAGCGTGTCACACACTTACGTTGTTGAAGGCGTGCCAGGCGACGCCCCGTGATCTCCAGGTGCTTACCTGGGATCTTGGAAGGCCAGTAATTTAAAAAAACTTAACCCCAACTTTATTTGCGGCGTTGATAACGTTCGTACAACGTTATAATTCAAATTCAAATTGATAATAGTGTACAAACGTTGTGGTTACGTTGTGTGTCTGGAATTATCATGCTGACCGCAAACCCCCACCATCCCCCTGCCCCCCCCCCTCCCCCACCCACTCCCCAGTGAGATTTGTAATGTCTGAAGTATTGTGGATGATGTCTGTTTAGTGTGGGACTTGTGGTGTGATCGGACGTGATTATTGTGCGTCATGTGTATGGCCGGATTGATGATTGATGAAGATTAAGCCACCCAAAAGGTGGCACGGGCATGAATAGCCCGTAAGTGGTGGCCCTTTTGAGCCATTACCAGTATCAAGAGCTGATACTGGAGATCTATGGAGGTGCGACTGCACCCTACGTGACGGGAGATGTCTCCCGTGGTATGGCCGGATATGGTTGGTGTGCTTTATATGGTGCATATCCGGACCTGGCTGCTGTGCGCCTTGTGGTGGGGGTAGCTATGGCCGGTGTGAAGCTTGTGGTACCCGGACATGGCTGCTGTGCGCCTTGTGGTGGGGGTAGCCATGGCCGGTGTGAAGCTTGTGGTACCCGGACCTGGCTGCTGTGCGCCTTGTGGTGGGGGTAGCCATGGCCGGTGTGAAGCTTGTGGTACCCGGACCTGGCTGCTGTGCGCCTTGTGGTGGGGGTAGCCATGGCCGGTGTGAAGCTTGTGGTACCCGGACATGGTTGCGTTGATATAGTTCCTGTACTTCCAAATTTGCTTCACTCTGGAATCTTGTCTTTTCACGTCCTCCTGGGGCCTCCCAGCCCTTCTGCTTTATATATATATATATACATTCTACCAGGGTTATTGCCAAATGTGCAGCACCTCCAAAGGATACCTGATCAACCAGGCTGTGACTCATACGTCAGGCTGCGAGCAGCCGCGTCTAACAGCCTGGTTGATCAGTCCAGCAACCAGGAGGCCTGGTCGACGACCGGGCCGCGGGGACACTAAGCCCCGGAAGCACCTCAAGGTAGCCTCAAGGTAGCTTCCCTCCGGAAATGTTGAGTAGGCATGCCAAGTGTGGTGTATCTGGGTATCCCAGAGGGCACCACCATCCCTCTCCATCACCGCCGTAACACCCGCTAGGGCAGCACCCAAGTAGAGAAGACACAAACGCAGCCTCCGGCCTGGAGTCCTTCACATGTAACGCAACGGAAGGTCGGGTTCACCTCGCCGCGCTCGCGGGCTTCCATGGCTAAACCCCAAGATGGGTTTTGGCATCTCCTCCCACCTCATATTAACCTCTGGCCAGCCAGCCAGTCCCACCTCACAGGTATGTTGCAGCGTGTTCTTGATTTGTTGTTCTCAAGGTTGACCTGAGTCAAACCTTGGTGGATATAAATGCATTATTTTTGTTGGACACGATAGGAACGTTTGTTGCCGCGCCTATCGAGGCGCTACAACACGTTCAGCTCTTCTCTACGTAGAGTAGCTATGTAGCAGCTACTCTACGTTCAGCTCTGCTCTACGTAGAGTAGCTATGTAGCAGCTACTCTACGCTTCTACGCTCTATGTAGCAGCTACTCTACGTAGAGTAGCTATGTAGCAGCTACTCTACGTTCAGCTCTGCTCTACGTAGAGTAGCTATGTAGCAGCTACTCTACGTTCAGCTCTTCTCTACGTAGAGTAGCTATGTAGCAGCTACTCTACGTTCAGCTCTGCTCTACGTAGAGTAGCCATGTAGCAGCTACCCTACGTTCAGCTCTACTCTACGTTCAGCTATGTGAGTATCCTTTGTCTCTGTGAACATATACACGGGTCTCATTGCTGTCACAGACATAACAGGTCTTTGAGAACCGGTTACCGTCACACAGCGCGAGAACCGTGAACACTGTCTGTCTGCTAGCTGTCATCTTATACCGGATTACTGCAAGCCACTGTTGGGGGGAATAGGGGCTGCGGTAGTCTTCCAGACTTTATGGGAATGCACTAGAAATCCCGTTGTATCACTTTAACAACTTCGGTGGTCTAGTGGTAGAGTATCCGACTGGCGATGCCGGGGTCGCAGGTTCGCGCCCCACCTCATAGCCCTAGTGGATTTTCTCAGTATACAAGTGCGCGTATATTTGATACATGGACAGGGGATACATAGATAAGTAGAACGCATAAAGCCACTAATACACAGAGTGCTTTGGGCAGGGGTAGAATAAGGGGACATGATCAGTGTAAGACAGGGTACAATAAGGGGACATGATCAGTGTAAGACAGGGTACAATAAGGGGACATGATCAGTGTAACAGGGTACAATAAGGGGACATGATCAGTGTAAGACAGGGTAAGGGGACATGATCAGTGTAAGACAGGGTACAATAAGGGGACATGATCAGTGTAAGACAGGGTACAATAAGGGGACATGATCAGTGTAAGACAGGGGAAGAATAAGGGGACATGATCAGTGTAAGACAGGGTACAATAAGGGGACATGATCAGTGTAAGACAGGGTACAATAAGGGGACATGATCAGTGTAAGGCAGGGCAGGATAAGGGAACATGGGACATACTTTTCGTTCTTTGTTATAAGACACATTAAGATCATTTTATGATATTTCACTGGTAAGACCATCACGATAAACTTTATATAAAAAATTAATTATTTAGGTAAAAGTATATACATAGTCTCCTAGAGCCCAGGTGAATGGAATATATATATATATATATAATATTCAGTTACAACCAGAATGATGGAACACAGCCGATGCACTGAGCGAAATACACAAGATAATAAGGAGAGGAGACGAGGTGAGGCCACACACACACACACACACACACACACACACACACACACACACACACACACACACACACACACACACACACACACACACACACACGCTCAGGTGATCTCGGGGATCGAACTCCCAAATAAGCCAGCCTTGTCCCCGCTGACAGAGCCCAGGGCCACCTGGCTACGTGTGTGCCCACACGAAGGGTGAAATGTTGTTCGCTGCAAGAAGTCAAGGGCGCCATCTGTTGGTATCTGTCAGTCTAGGTGTTTCATGCTATCTCCTCCATTCATCCAAGGCAGCGATATGTTTGCCTGCCAATTATTTCCATTTTAAACTTCTTGTTGCAAATGTTGCAAATACTCTGAAAAGGTGTTAATTGTTGATTGAATTAGTTTCTATCACTGCCGTCCGTCTCCCTCTAACGTTGGTAGCATTCAAGCATCAACACCACAATACACTATGGTCACTGTACTACAGTCGTACCTTAGCCAAAACGGTGTTGTTCTTCCCTCCGCACTGCAGCTCTCGGTCCGAATGCGCCAGGACGCTAAAGAATAAAAGGGGGAGTGGAAAATGTGTCGGCATTGTCAATTTCTTCCTGTGGTGGTGAGGGCGTGAGGCGCCGAACTGAACAGGAGGCGACGCCATCACTCGAGGCGGGTGTTTTGCCCGCTCGTGCGGTGTCGAGAGGCTCCGAGCGCTAGTAATGGCCGGTGGTTTAATTGTTTGTTTTAATGTTACCCCCAAAGGCCGAGTTTATTGGGCAGCTGAACTTTATGGAATAAACCGACCGCTATACCAGCATGTACAACACCCGCTGGGGTGTTCATCTTGCCACTTGTACCCCGCGCGCGGCAGGGACGTACTTGACCGTCTCTAGTGGACAGAGACAAGGAGATTAAAACCTACTTGTCGTCCATAATGATTGAGGTTGCCAGCTGTCACTGTACTCTACCAACTAATAGAGTCGCTGTCTTGTTATTCTAATCCTCTTTCCTCAGTTACCTTGTCACGATGTTGTTGCCTGATGACTTCTTGGATTGGTGCACGTCATAGGATTGATTGATTGATAAAGATTAAGCCACCCAAAAGGTGGCACGGGCATGAATAGCCCGTAAGTGGTGGCCGTTTTGAGCCATTACCAGTATCAATAGATGATACTGGAGATCTGTGGAGGTGCGACTGCACCCTGCGTGACGGGAGATGTCTCCCGGACCAAATGGTGGCCACGTCATAGGGATGAAGTATTGAAGATAGTCTCACGCAGGGAGACTGCCTCCTCACCAGCCGGCATATATATCTGTTCATACATTTCCGCAGATGTCAACATGAGAGGGAATCCATAAGAACTTGATCAGCCTTACATGATTGCCTCAACTTTACACATTTATTTTAGCTTCAGCGATTGTCCTTCTGTCTTCTTCCTGTTTACACGAAGACTTTAGTAGCGGGATTTTTGATTTGGTGTACATCACTGCTCCCCCTGTCCTCCCTTCACCATATCTCTCTTGTCACAACAATGACAGTGAACTCTGCTAGAGTTGAGAAGGCATGGTTCTCTGTCCGGGGCCTGTCTTCATTTTAATTTTGGAAAAAAAAACATTGTTAATTATTGTGTACACTGCGCGCCAGCCTTGGCAAATATTAGGTTAAGACAGAACCATCGGTGTAGATCTAATATTGCTCGTTTTCTGCAGTTTTATTAATTTTTCATAATGTATATGTACCAGTTATATGTATATGTACACACACACACACACACACACACACACACACACACACACACACACACACACACACACACACACACACACACACACACACACACACACGTACCGTAAGACATCTAGGCGTGCAGGTGTGTACATAAGACTGGTGTTGCAGGTGCGGAAGATCGGTGGTGGAGGGTTTGGAGAGATCTACGAGGGCCAGGACCTGGTGACGAGGGAGCAGGTGGCCCTCAAGCTCGAGTCCGCCAAACAGCCCAAGCAGGTCCTCAAGATGGAGGTGGCCGTCCTCAAGAAGCTCCAAGGTCAGTAATCTTTCCAATATTGCTAATTGAATAGTTCGCTAATTACTCAACGTAATGGAAAGACCTAATGAGTGAAGCAGGTGCCCTTGTGGATTTTCTCATTATTATTAGTATTAATTGAGAAAATCACTTGGAGGAATATGCCAGGATTTGAACCATGGACTTTGGTATACCCAGATAAGATAAGATATGTATTATATATAAGATAAGATATAAAGATATGAAGGTGACGAAAAGTCTCAAAAGTAAGTATATTATTAACTCAAATTTCCGGATGAAACATTGTTTTACACCACCATGATAAAGGATGTAAGGTTCTTCCGAAAATTTGGTTGTATAATACTCACAGGTGTATTGGGTCTTCTTGTGTCACCGTCATTGTTATTGTTGCTACTGCTAATTCACCACCTCTGGGTGATGATGTGTTCGTGTTGAGGAGATAGTGAGATGGTGTAGTGGTGAACTGGTGGCGGGAGGCAGTGTCCAGGACCCACACACACACACACACCTGGGGCCAGATTCACGAAGCAATTACGCAAGTACTTACGAACGTGTACATCTTTCCTCGATCTTTGACGGCTTTGGTTACATTTATTAAACAGTTTACAGGCATGAAAACTTGTCAATCAACTGTTGTTATTGTTATAAACAGCCTCCTGGTGCATTGGAGCTCATTAACTGTTTAATAATTGTAAACAAAGCCGCCAAAGACTGAGAAAAGATGTACAGGTTCGTAAGTGCTTGCGTAAGTGCTTCGTGAATCTGGCTCCTGCTCCTTACCCACTACACCCCACCCCCAACATTTACACCAATGGGAAAGCCACTATGGCACTCCGGGGCATGACACTGGCGCCATGACACTCTGGCACCATGATACTCCGACACCATGACACTGGCGCCATGACACTCCACCACTACCTGTGGACAGTTAGAGGGAAAGAGCGTGAACAAGGCCAGGCAGGCCATGTTCATGCCTCAAGTCTGGTGAACTAAGCTTAGTCCCACTACGGAGTTCAACAGCACAGCAGCACGAGTCATGCAGCAGCGGGAACACGGATATGAACACATACACATATTGAACAGCCTACGTCACTGATTCATTTTATTTCCAAAAGATATTTTCCTGTGGAAAGACCAGCTTGAGTTGGCAGGCGGCGCGGCTCGCCTCGACGCCTCCACACACACACAAGGGAACCTTTAAGTTTGCTCTGAGGAAGTTTTCACTTCACTTACACTTACCGGCAGAGTTGTAACTTGGTTTGTGGCCCGGGGCTGTGTCTCACAGCGGCGTGAGGTAATGGTGTTGTTGAGGCTGTTAACTGTCAGGCGATGGACCCAGCTGGGGTGTGGCTACATTGCACCAGCTGGGATGGTCCAGCACCCAGCTGGGATGTGGCTATATAGCACCAGCTGGGATGGTCCAGCACCCAGCTGGGATGTGGCTATATAGCACCAGCTGGGATGGTCCAGCACCCAGCTGGGATGGTCCAGCACCCAGCTGGGATGTGGCTATATAGCACCAACTGGGATGGTCCAGCACCCAGCTGGGATGTGGCTATATAGCACCAGCTGGGATGGTCCAGCACCCAGCTAGGATGATCCAGCACCCAGCTGGGATGATCCAGCACCCAGCTGGGATGGTCCAGCACCCAGCTGGCTATATAACACCAGCTGTGATGGACCATCACCCAGCTGTGATAGCAACAGTTCACTGGCCCACATTCACTAACACAATCATTTGTATTGACATTTGTAGACGATGTTTTCTATGTTTTCATTTCTTGTTTTCATTCTACTCATTATGCTCAATTAGTATAAAGCTTGTCATTTAAGTTTATCATGCCCGAAACGCTTTGCGTAATAGTGGCTTTAGGCATTGTATGTACTAGCTATACCTATAAGTTAAACAATCCTTGTAAATATTTATTGTATGTATGTACCTTACCTAAATAAATAAATTGTTGTTGTATGAAACGTCTGGTGTGAACATTATATATATATTGTGCCCAAGAAATACTATTTGCTTCAGCTCATCCAGATGTATCAAGTGCGTGTATTCACATGGAAATGAATAACCTATCAAGCAGCTGGCGTCGTAATAGGTGTTGCTATACAATCACCGTTGAACAAGTGTTTTGAAAGGTAGGCCTAAAATACCCTGCTGGGCGTATGGGTAGCCTGCCAGACAGGAAGAAGAGGGCGGCTAAATATACACTTACAGCTTGTGGAGTCGTCCTTGTCGCTGGCAAATATGAAGGGGCCTCGATGAGGATTTTTTTGGTTCACCTTCGAGTGTGTTGGTTTCTGATAGACTCGGAGCGTATGTGCCAGCTGCTAGTTTAAGTGTGTTTGGTAGCAAGATCACATGCGGTGTTATGTGTATATTGTTGTATTTTGTGTATAAAGTGTTATGGGTGTAGTGATGTATTATGAAAATAGAAATATATTATGCATATAGAGATGTATTACATGTATAAACAATTTATAAAAATTATATATACATTCCTTCTAAAGATGTATTAATATACGAAAGTACTCAAGGAAATTCCTGCTTCAATTCATCCTCTGTGGTCTGACACTGTCACATTTTTCATCACGAGTTAATGTTCATAATCTACACACAAAAATGTACTATGTGTATAGCTGTGTATAGTCTAGCAATGCAGTACGTGTATATAGCGATGTATTAAAAGTGTCGTGTTGTGTACAGGTCGCGAACACGTGTGCAGGTTCATCGGGTGCGGCCGCAACGAGCGCTTCAACTACGTGGTGATGCAGCTACAGGCCAAGAACCTGGCCGAACTGCGCCGCGCCCAACCCCGGGGAGCCTTCAGCCTCTCCACGGCCCTCCGCCTCGGCCACCAGATCCTCAGAGCCATCGAGTCCATCCACGAGGTCGGCTTCCTCCACAGAGACATCAAGCCGGTGAGTCGCGCGGGAACGAAGCCCCATGACGCCTCATTGTTCAAATTCAAAATTCAAATTCAGATTCAAATGTTTATTTAGGTAAAGTACATACATACAAGGGGTGATACAGATATTGATGAATTTATAGATAGAGCTAGTAACTCTTTACGTTGTATCTCTTTACGTCGTTCAGTGGTTATCTTATCACTTCTACTAGGCCTAAAAGGGGTCGAGGCCAAGCTGGTAGGTGGGTGGGGGGGGGGCTAAGTCGTCCACATTCTCTTACTTAATTGGCCTTGGTCTGTCTACATCATTTCCTGAGATGATGTGAATGCCAAAGTATGATGACAAGACCACTCATCGCCTGCATGTGAATGCCAAGCCTATAGTTCACACGCTCCCAAAATAATCCATCTTTACTCTGTCTCTTGATCCTCTTGTCACATCCATTGTTCCGTCCCAGTGCTTGATCATGCTTTCCTCTCTTATTTCCTGTATTGGTCCGATTTGAGAAGGTTTCTACTTTACCTCCGGCTTGGCGCCTTCTTTTGATAATTACTTACCACTTCTACTTTCCCCCACTTCCATACTTACCCTATTTTGGAGTCGTTAATTCAATTTCCATGGCTACCATCCCATTTTCAAACACCAGGGCCTCCATTTCCACGACCGTGATACTGTTTTCTCGCAAAGTGCTCAAGATAATGAACAAATCCCCAAGGGCCGTGACGAGGATTCAAACCTGCGTCCGGGAGCATCCCAGACACTGCCTTAATCGACTGAGCTACGACAGGGTAAAAGGGTTGAAACCGAAGTTCTACTGAACTTACTGGATCCCGTAGCCTCTCCGAGGCACAAACCAGGATTTTACACACACCCCTCCCCTGCACCCGAGCTATGTCAATAGGCCGTTCTCCCTCTTCGCCATCCTTCATTTGATGCATCACGTTAGTGTGATCTCTGTGTGCTCAAGATAATGCACGACATGCAGTTGCGCAGCCCGTTCTCTCGAGTTCTCAACGTAAGAAAAACTCAGTGGATTGGTCTATCTAAAATCGTCAAAACCCAACCTACCGGAGGCGATATAGTCAATAGCCCCTAAAAACGTCAACACTAAGAGGTTTTCCATTTCTCTAAACCACCGCAATTTTCACGCCGGGGTCGATTGCGTCAATGTGCTCCTGATCTCTGGTATGACAGAATATGCTTTTCCATTTGGGAGAGAGCGAAGCAGAATTAGTTTTCATCTTGATTCCGTAAGATGACAACGGGTAACGGTGTGTGTGTTGTGTTGTCTCCTGGTGGAACCCGAGGGAGGGGGAGGAAGCTAGTAATAGTGCGTGTTGCCTCCTGGTGGAACCCGAGGGAGGTGGTGGGGGTAGGAAACACGATCCGCATGCCGTTGAGGATGAGATAAATCCTCTCCTCTTCCTCGTGCTGCCAAGTGCTCCGACGGGGCCTTGGCCAGACGAATTGGTGGCCAGGAGCGCTGTTATTATTTTGGCTACTACCAGTGTGTGTGTGTGTGTGTGTGTGTGTGTGTGTGTGTGTGTGTGTGTGTGTGTGTGTGTGTGTGTGTGTGTGTTGTGTGTGTGTGTGTGTGTGTGAGTGTGTGAGCAGAGGGAGGTGACCGGATACCGGCAGCGGTAAACGGAAGTGAGGACTCGCAGGCGTAGTTAAGGGATGTTTTAGATTTAGCTACTCAGAACGAAATGTCCATGTAGCACGGGCTATGGTGAGCCCGTAAATAGGCTCACTAGGCTATGGTGAGCCCGTAAATAGGCTCACTCGTTAAAGTTAAAAAGTGAGGGGAACGGACCGGATTATTTAAAGAAAGGGGGTGTCTAATGGATGAAGTGTGAAGTGCGGACATCTTAATAATAGGTTATGAAGAATAGGTAACCTTTGTATGACATAGAACCTGTCTCCTGAAGCACACATCATCCGGGTATCATCACACGACACTATCTCCTGAAGCACACATCATCCGGGTATCATCACACGACACTATCTCCTGAAGCACACATCATCCGGGTATCATCACACGACACTATCTCCTGAAGCACACATCATCCGGGTATCATCACATAGAGCAGGAAAGCCCTTTGTCTGCTCTTTAAATCACACGAGGACAAGAGATAGTCTGACGTCATAAATGTTGACGAAGGATGTAAACACTGAAAATCAGCTGATGGGGCACAACATGGCCACGTGTCAATGAGTGCGGGGCTGTCTTTCCCCTCCAAGTGTATCGAAAGATATGTAAACTCCCGTTGTCCAGGACAGGACGCCTTTACTTATAGGCTTATCGAGGTTCCTCTAGGTCAACAACTGACCTTTCTCATGCTGCACCCCCCACAACAGTTGTGTAACTCTCCAGTACCTACTTTATTGTTAGGTGATCAGAGACATCAGATGAAGGAAAAGGTGCCCAACCTTTTCTTTCCTGGCGTCAGCGTGTTTGTATTGCTTGGGAGTGTGGGAGGGGGGAGGGGGTGCCAGCCAACAGCGTGTGGTAGGGGGTGGGTGGGCTGGCTGTCAGCATGTGGGCGTTGCAGAGGCTACACACTGCAGAAGAGCTGCGGACTCTCCTCCGTTATTGATCTTAGCTCTGATTGACAACGCTTCAACAACTGTACAGTAGTACACGATTAGGTCTTCAACAGATGCAATTGGAATGTTAGAAACTATACACGACTCCGGGGCAGGCGCATGCGCGCCCCCCCTCACAAAAGTGCCGGAGCCTAGTAGGTCATATGCAGGTCATGGTCATAGTAACATTGTAGGGGTGACCACTCGGTCAGCCTTGCCCCTATGGCTCTCCAAGGTAAACATAATCTTACTCACATATTTTCACCTTGAAACCAGAGGATAAACAGACGCAAGGAAAGAGTCCATAATAAGAGTGAGTACAAGGCTGGCACACGAAGAGAAACAAGGTGCAAGACTAAAACACCTGAGAAACTTGAGCCGCAAGGTTGCAAAAGTTTTAAGAGTGGGCGCCTCCCCCTCCCCCCCCCCCCAACACACACGCGTACGTCTAAGGGCCAGACGGCTGAGTGGACACCGTTTGGGACTCGTAATCCTAGGGACCGGGGATCGATCCCCGGCGATGGCGGAAACAAATGGGCAGAGTTTCTTTCACCCTGATGCCTCAGTTCACCTAGCAGTAAATAGGTATCTGGGAGTTAGACAGCTGCTATGGGCTGCCTCCTGGGTGTGTGTGGGAGGAATTAAGGGGGGATCCGTTAATTAATTGACAGTTGAGAGGCGGGCCGAAAGAGCCAGAGCTCAACTCCCGCAAGCACAACTAGGTGAGTACTTACTCACTCGTGTGTGTGTGTGTGTGTCTCTCTCTCTCTCTCTCTCTCTCTCTCTCTCTCTCTCTCGCTCTCTCGCTCTCTCTCTCTCTCTCTCTCTCTCTCTCTTTCTCTTTCTTTCTCTTTCTCTTTCTCTTTCTCTCTCTCTCTCTCTCGCTCTCTCTCTCTCTCTCTCTCTCTCTCTCTCTCTCTCTCTCTCTCTCTCTTCTCTCTCTCTCTCTCTCTCTCTCTCTCTTCTCTCTCTCTTCTCTTTCTCTTTCTCTTTCTCTCTTCTCTCTCTCTCTCTCTCTCTCTCTCTCTCTCTCTCTCTCTCTCTCTCTCTCTCTCTCTCTCTCTCTCTCTCTCTCTCTCTCTCTTTCTCTCTCTCTTTCTCTCTCTCTTTCTCTCTCTCTCTCTCTCTCTCTCTCTCTCTCTCTCTCTCTCTCTCTCTCTCTCTCTCTCTCTCTCTCTCTCTCTCTCTCTCTCTCTCTCTCTCTCTCTCTCTCTCTCTCTCTCTCTCTCTCTCTCTCTCTCTCTCTCTTTCCGCTGGCCTCCCTCTGGAGACTAACGTTACTCTCAGATAATTATGGATATAAATATCCATATATATATATATAGATATAAATATATCTATAACTCTATATTTATGGATATAAATAAACGTTGCCTCGAATGGACTAATAGGCCTTCTGCAGTTTGCTTGATTCATATGTACTTATGTGACCAATCAAGAACGTGGATTGTATATGTTCTCTCAATCATTTTTTCAGTAGATTGGAGGTGGTTTTTGGGTCGCTAATCCTGCTAGAAAGTTTAGTTGAGATCACTTTTGGAGTATGAGGATGGCGGTAGTGGAGGTGGTGGTGGTGGTGGTGGTAGTGGAGGTCGTGGTGGTGGTAGTGCAGAAGACAATCGTGAGAGCTCCACATACCTGGCTTTCTCCTGCCTTTAGTAATGACCATGTTGTATCCATGTCTATGAGTTAAGGGGGGCCAGCGGTGAACTTAGATCATTATAGAGTGGTGTGGCCTGTGAGGTCTCCTGGCTTGCTTAGCACTCGTCTCCAACGCCCTTCCACGGGAGCCTGTAGTCTCCTTGAGACTGCTAGCAGTCCGTAGGAGCTCCCTCTTCACCCCTCCCACCTCTATCCTTTACTAATATCTTGGAAAATATATATATATAATGATGGGTTCACAGCGTGGGTTTACTGCTGGCCGCTCATGTTTAACAGCTTTGTTCTAATTTTGTCATGTGTATTTCAAGCAGTTGAGGGTGGCAAGGACTGCGACACTCTGCCTTGACCTTAACAAAGCCTTTGGTACTGTGTCTCACGAGACACAGTACCAAAGGTAAACGTGGTACAAAGGCTTATAATATTTGGCGGTTATCCTAAGTGGAACAAGGACTTATAGTCATTTCGAATAGATCATAGAGTTAGTATAAATAGCGTTCAGTCCGAATGGGAAACCATTGTAAGTGGAATGTCCCAGAGTTTTTTTTGTCCCAGGGTGGGACAAAAATGGTTGGGCACATTTTTTTAAACCTAATTCATCTGTTCATCTAGCAGTAAGTAGGAACTCAGGAGTTAGTTAGCTTGTTGTGGAGTTGCATCCTAGACAGGGTCAGTAATTTGACTTTTGGGAGGGGGGTTACCTACCTTGAGGTTACCTACCTTGAGGTGCTTCTGAGGCTTAGCGTCCCCGCGGCCCGGTCGTCGACCAGGCCTCCTGGTTTCTGGACTGATCCACCAGGCTGTTGGACGCGGCTGCTTGCAGCCTGACGTATGAATATACTCTGGCTTCTGTATGAATATACTCTGGCTTCCGGTCCCCCGACACAATGAACTATTATTAATTAATTACATGTTAACAATGATGTATTGCTGAGGGGTGTGATTGAGTGGTGTGGTGCTGGAGGATCAAGAGCCAGCTGTGGGGTACACAGAGGCCACATGTGCAGTTAAAGGGACATTCTCTCCTAGCATCTACATATATTAAATATTCATGCGTGCATCTTAGCATGTCGAGGACCTCCTCCCCAAAAACCAGCCGTGATTTCAGGTTGTTTAAGAAGACGGGATTCCCTTAATACCTTTACCAGCTGTCACGGGTCCAGCCCCCATCCTCCAGGCCTCTAGCTTTATAATTAGTCTAACACAGCCTATCTTCTTCACCACGCCCACCTACCTGACCACGCCCACCTACCTGACCACGCTCATCTACCTGACCACGCCCACCTACCTGAACACACTCCACCTACCTGACCACGCCCACCTCCCTGACCACGCCCACCTACCTGACCACGCCCACCTACCTGACCACGCCCACCTACCTGAACACCCTCCACCTACCTGACCACGCCCACCTCCCTGACCACGCCCACCTACCTACACCTCCCACCTCATATATTCCTCTTACATACAACACTGTAATAATTCTTACTAATATCCCAGTGGCACATTCTGGTGCTTTGTTTCCATCTGTGCTCCCTTATTTATGTTCCTCTCGTGACAAATAGCTTCTCATAGTCTGCCTTGTTAAATCCCCTGAGTATTTTGTCACGATTATGTCTCTCCTGCTTCTGTTTTACTTCGAGTGATGAGGGTTAGTTCATTTTATCCCTTTGTGATTTTCTTCTCAACTCTAGGAATTTTCTCAACTCGAGGAATTTTCTCAACTGGAGGAATTGTCTGGTTGTATCCCACCAATCATTTTCACGGGACTCCTGGTTCAACCTTGAGGCCGAGCGGATGTCTGGACTCCTCCTCCGCCTGGGAGCCGCCTGATCACGTCTTGTTTTCGCGTTTTGGCTTTGCTACTGCCGTTTGGCATCCCTTTTCTCTTCTCCAATATGCTGATAATACAGTGATTGGTCATTCCCACGGATGTTTCAAAGTTGACTTGAGTTTAACTCTTTCTCGGATTTTATCAGGTCGGTCAAGCTCTGCTGGTTGCCCTGCTCCAAGTTGAAGCATAATCTAATTTAAACTTCATCGTTCACTCCAGGAGGAAGTCTTTATTCATTTCATCATCTTCCCCTTACTCCTCTCTTGTGTTCTAACTTCCAGAAGAGCCTCTGGTGGGCCATCTTATCAAAAGGATTTCTTAAATCTAAATACCAGTAACTGCAATTTAAACATAGTTCTCTCGCCTAGATCATTAGTATGTCTTTATAGTCTCCGTGGTGTAGTGGTAAGACACTCGCCTGGCGTTCTGCGAGCGCTATGTCATGGGTTCGTATCCTGGCCGGGGAGGATTTACTGGGCGCAATTCCTTAACTGTAGCCTCTGTTTAACGCAACAGTAAAATGTGTACTTGGATGAAAAAACGATTCTTCGCGGCAGGGGATCGTATTCCAGGGACCGTAGGATTAAGGACTTGCCCAAAACGCTACGCGTACTAGTGGCTGTACAAGAATGTAACAACTCTTGTATATATCTCGAAAAAAAAAAAAAAAAAAAAAAAATCATCTCTGTGACCCTGCCATAAAAGCTTAGCTTTACGTGATTTCGAACCTCTGGTCCCTTACTGTTTATCTGTAATAATTTTTCATAATGATCCAGGCACTTGACCCAAAATTATGTTTCACTGCAAGCAGATGTGCCTACCATTGTGTTTTCTTATTTGCTGATTACTTAAATAAATTATGATCTTCATAACGCTACTAAGTTTTCTGCCCATTTCAGTCCAATTTCAGCATGGGTCGCCTGCCTCACAACTGTCGCAAGACATACATGCTGGACTTTGGACTTGCTCGACAATACACTAATGCCAACGGTGAAGTGCGGACCCCAAGAGCCGCTGCAGGCTTCAGAGGTGAGTTAGTCATATGTGGCAGCATCTTGCTCAACAATACACATTATCATTTACATGCACAATATTTAGATTCTTGTTTGAGAGATTTTGCCTTTTATATGAGGTATTAATCCTTGGTACTTTTATTTCTCCCTATTGTTGAAGGAGTGATGAAATGCGCCGCATCCTCTCAACTTTAATCATATACATATTGTGATTATACATCTTCCCATTGGGTTGTATATATGTATGTATTTTAAATTGCAAAACCTTCTTTCCTTCAACCTTTTCATTAGTTTAAGGGGCCAGGAGTTAAAAAATATTTAATTTATATGAAAATTACTTGAAAATGTTAAACAAAACTCCAATTATTTGGCATCAGTATTGTGAAAGTTTCAGCTCAATATGTTAAGAAATGGATTTTATATGAATATTTAAAAAAAAAAGCTTTGATTATATGGAGAACAGCCCTATTAAATGGAACAGAGGGATAATACAGCAATAAAGAGATGCAAGCAGCTATGTCCGACGCCCAAAGAAGAAGAATAGTAGTAAGGAAGGTCCACAAATGGATATGCAGCTGGTGCCTTTCTATCATTGCTGAAACATAAAAGGAATGACAGTGTTAGAGGAAAGTATCAAGCCATTACAACTATATTCTTCATTGCTAAGTATTACATAATAACACAAATAATATGGAGCAAGTATGTTATTATGCTGTATTTTTTTATATATCATATAAATACATTGCCCAATGCCAATATCTGTTACTTCTGTTATATGTTATAAATACAGTTTCTGTTACTTAATTTGAAATTGTGAAATTTGAAATTTGTTATCGATAATTTTTTTTTATTTTTTTTTTCCGGTTTGTGTTATGATATTGAACTGTTAGGGAAAGTTGGAGCATTTACCATAAAGATTATGCAGAAATAATTTGAGTGTGTTTGAGAAAGGTTGATTATTTGAACTCCCAGCTCCTTAAATATTTGACTAGATCAGCTATGCAGTATTGTTTTGAAAGGTTCTTGTTTATGGTATTATAACCACACAATGTGAATTATGTGGGATTGGGAGTTGTTTGGTGAAAATTGTTCCCAGTGTTGGGAGAAGGAAACATGTTATGTTTACCGAGGTCCTCCTTGGCCACCATCTGATCTTTTCGAGGATGCAACCCATAACAGTTGCCAGACTCACAGATACCTATTTACTGCTAGGTGAACAGATGTATCAGGTGTAAGTAAACATGTCCAGACATCTTGTACTGTCTAGGGCTATTCTGTTGAGCCATCCATGGGATATGTTTTATAACCATTTTTTCTAATTTATTTAATAAAATTCAGGCAGTACTGTCTAAGCATGTTATATAGAGGAATGTCACTTAGCTGTGTTGGCGATTGAGTGGCCTTTTATTAATTGCAATACAGCATGACTATGCACTTGGCATGGTATGTCAGCCATCAGCATGAGCTTTATGCATGACTGTGTGTGCAGTCCAGTGCTAAGTTATTTTTATTTTAATTAGTTTGTAGCTTTTCTACACCTCTTTAATTGTGTCTTAACATTTTTAAAATGATCAGACTGACAGGAATTGAAACATGTAGTAATAGTCAGCAATATATATTCTCAAAATGAGCTACAGGGTGGTAACAAGTAATTCTATATGAATCCGTAGGACACTGCATAGCCTGTGGAGATAAGAGAGCTGGATATTATTTCATATCAAAATCCAGTTTGTAAAAATTTTCAATAACATTGGGGGGGGGGACATTTCTTAAGCCACTGGCTTCTGGTTTACAACAAGGCAACTATAGAGAGAGCATGGCCTTCAGGTAAATTCGGGTAAAATGCCTACCTTGTGAGTGATAGCAAAAAAGTTAGTTAAGCAATGGGTTCAGAAACTGGGGTCCACATTCTTTAAAGCTAAGCAATTTACATATACAGTGAACTAGTGATTATTAATTTGCAGCAGATTTGTGACAAATTAAGTTAAAAGGATAGTGATCTGCTAGGCTGTTCTGAACAATTGTACCTATTTATTTGTCATACATTTTATTCTTTATATTATATTGGGAATTATTCTATGGTTAATGACAAGTAAATTCTAAATATTTTCCTTTATTCACTTCTTGGCAATGCATGTACTGTAACTGGCATTATTAGTATTTAGATGCTTTCCTATTATTTAGAGGATATTTTTGTCAACAAAAGTGACAACCTCCCAAAATGCTTTGCATAATAGTGGTTTCATAGATTGTGTAATTCCTCTTCCTACAATTTTTACATTACGCCTTTGTTCTTCGTACACACATTCTGTTGAATAAAAGTTTATTGTATATTGTATAATTACAGCAAAACATTTTGTTGACAGGTACAGTACGTTATGCTTCCCTAAATGCTCACAAGAATAAGGAGATGGGGCGTCATGATGATCTGTGGTCGTTATTTTATATGGTCGTTGAGTTTGTTAATGGTCAGTTGCCATGGAGAAAAATCAAGGATAAGGAACAGGTACATTTTCCTATTTAGAACCAGTTGTAGCATGCCTTTCATTGATGTCTAATGGTAATTCTTCCTTTAATTTTTTTAAATAGATAATACTGTATTAGAAAACATGCATTGCTTTCTCAAGACTGATATGTCTGTACAGTACTGTTTATTATTATTATTATTATTATTATTATTATTATTATTATTATTATTATTATTATTATTATTATTATTATTATTATTATTATTATTATTATTATTATTAAAAAAATTATTTTGAAATCCAGGTAAACTGTCTGAATAATGAACCCAAATCTAACCAAAGAATTATGGATATGTTGGATACAGATTTATTGTATTATTTGCATATAGCCCCATTGGGGTCTGTGTGCAATGTTACTTGGATACAAGATAAAATAATCATCATGGTCCTACTCGTTCAGCGGAATGTACAGTAGAGTACTGTAATGTGTTGTACAAGAATATACCTCTTAATGGAACCTCAAATAACAAATTTAATCCATTCCGGCACCGAGCTCTTCATGTGAAACACTCGTCTTTCGAAACAGATTTCCCCATTTAAAATAATGTAAACAAAATTAATCCATTCCACCCCCCAAAAAACATCTGTAAGACATTTTATAATGTAAATATAATACTGTGCATGTAATTATTATAAATATTTTGTTTCAATGTTTTCAATTGTACATGTACTTTACCTTATGAAAAGTCGTTGCTGGCTTGAGGGAGACGATGGGGAGGTGGCAAGGAGGAGAGGGGGTTACAGTGTGGAAGGAGAATCCACCTCCGAGTCAGGCGGGCTCTCTCTTCTTGGGAATTTCACTGGGACCGGGTTGTGGTTCACTATCACTTGCTCGTCTTTTCTCTACTTTTCCAAAGAACGTATCTATTGGCAATTGCTTTTGTCTTCATTTTAGGATGTCCCTAAAATGAGACGGCAAACTGTCATTAAACATGTTCACACACTGTGTTGTCACTGCTTTATCAGTATTATGCTCTTCCAAGAATGTGGTTACCTTTTCAAACATTCCCAACACTTCCTGATCTCACTGGAAGAGGCTGCATTGCTATGATTTCCTTCTTCAACTCAAATCAACAATAATTGTGTCTTTCTTCCTCTTGACAACACTATCATTATCAAACAGCTTCTTTAGCGACATCATGGGTTATAAATTATAGTCACAAAACCACAAAAAAGCACAAATAAATGCAGAGGGATTCTTGTCCTGTGTGATACAACAACACTGTTGTCAGTGGCGTCCAAGAATTTATGAGTATCAGCAAGAATGCTAGGAAGCACCATGTGGTTTTCTCGTTAATCGAGCGGAAGTTCATCGATCGAGACAAATTTTCGGTGAGTGGCTCACTCGTTACTTGAAATGCTCGGAGATGGGGCCGCTCGTCACTTGAGGTTTCATTGTGTGTGTAATTACCTAAGTGTAGTTACAGGATGAGAGCTACGCTCGTGGTGTCCCGTCTTCCCAGCACTCTTTGTCATATAACGCTTTGAAACTACTGACGGTCTTGGCCTCCACCAGGCCAAGACCTGGTGGTGTGTGTGTGTGTGTGTGTGTGTGTGTGTGTGTGTGTGTGTGTGTGTGTGTGTGTGTGTGTGTGTGTGTGTGTGTGTGTGTGTGTGTGTGTGTGTGTGTGTGTGTGTGTGTGTATGTATGTATATAATAAGTCTTAATTTACAGTAAACCATATCCATATATTGAAGCTCTCTATTGACCCATATCTGACATGTCTGTAATCCTGAAATTAGGCTTGGATCCATTATTCAGACAATTATAAAAATAGTACTGGAAAGATGCTGGGCATTTTTAATATAATTACACTGTCAAAAACCAAGTAAAACATATAACTTGGATACAGATCATTTTACATTGTAGATGACTCATCTACAGATTTTCAGACCTAACCTAATAATACACACAACCCACAAATCTGTAAATAAAAATTGACAATTATTAAGTCATGTAATGGAAAAAAAATAACACCAATGTGTTCTGTCCCTTTTTCTTCTTAAGAATGTAAAGTCATCATTACTATATACTCTCTTAACTCCAATGTACCTTCTTGTATATAAATAAATAAATAAAATAAATAAATATTGATGTGTGTAATCTCTTGTAGAGTACTTCACTCCTTATACCTTTACTTCTACATTTTTTTCCTTTACTTCTGCCTTTTCCTATATTTTTTTCCTTATTCTAATTTCTGTCTTCTTCTTTCCATGCTGTTCAACCACTTGGGCTGGACGGTAGAGCAACGGTCTCGCTTCATGCAGGTCGGCGTTCAACCCCCGACCGTCCCAGTGGTTGGGCACCATTCCTTCCCCCCCCCCCCCCGTCCCATCCCAAATCCTTATCCTGACCCCTTGCAAGTGATATATAGGCATAATGGCTTGGCACTTTCTCCTGATAGTTCCCTTCCCTTCTTCCCATGCTTCTTCCTTATTACCATACTTTAAACCTTTTATTATACTATACCTTATTCCAATACTTACTTATTTATTTATTTATTTATTTATTTATTTATTTATTTACTTATTTATATACAGTATATACTGTACAAGAAGGTACAATGGGTTTGTGAGAGTACATAGCATTGATGTTTTTACATTCTTGTAAAGCCACTAACACGCAAAGCGTTTCTGGCAGGTTCTTAATCTAACAGATAATTTTAAGTAGGTAATTTCTAGCAAAATTGAAACCCCTATTTAGCCCTGTGAACTTTAACCCTATTCGTATACAGTATTTCAAACTTATTCCTGTACTTCTTACCTTACTCCTTTTCTTGAACCCGACGTAGCATCTCACTCTTATATTATAAACTAACTTTATCTTGTATATCTTTTTCCATTGCAGAACTCGTTCAGGACTGATCGGAATATTGGAAATTTTTTTATTTTCAGATTTATAGGTTAGGTGTCTTAATTTTCAGCCACATTAGTTTGTAAGCTAATAATATGCACTAGTTTGATGTGGGTGAGTGTGCACAACTGTTACAAGATATTATTTATAAACTGAGAATTTATGTAATAAATAACCATTATTCCAAATGTCAGTACCTATGAACTATGTCAGAATCTTGTATCTATAGCTACTGAAAATCATATTATGCTCTCTCAATCATCATCAAACTATTTTCTCATTTAAAAATTCTATGTAGCATATACAGTGCACGACTTTATAATGGAAAGTACAATAACAGAATTTCCATGCAGGTTGGCCTGATGAAAGAAAAATATGACCATCGATTGCTCATAAAACACTTGCCTTCTGACTTCAAGCAGTTTCTAGAACACATCCAAAACTTAGATTATCATGATAAGCCAGATTATGCTGTGAGTGTTTTATTAGCATTTTGTAATTATGTGTGAAATATATTTTGCCATATAATTTGAGGATTGTTGCATAACTTTTTTAAAATAAGTGACTAGTAAATTATTTCTGCAATATGCTTAATTTATATTCATTTTTCTAGATGTTATCAGGGTTATTTGAGCGCTGCATGAAGCGTCGGGGGATTAAGGAATCGGATCCATTTGACTGGGAGAAAACTCCCACTGATAATTCTTTAGGCACTACTACTACTACAACTCATGCTGTCATTACCAAACCTCAACATGCGGACAGGTTGGACTATTTTCACTCGTACTTCATTATATTTTCACTTAGTTCTTCTGGCAGTAGTGTTTCACACAGAGAGCAAACCACATAAGAGAAAAAATGCAGCATCTTTTCAATAGTAATTAAAGGAAAGTCTGAATAACGATACCTACCTAATCCAAAGATTGAGGATTCAAGCAGTGTAAAATCTGAATTATTTGAGTTTAGGTCTTTGTGGCACTGCATTATTTTGATACATGCCTATATAGGGCACTGTGTCATTTAGATACAGGATTATGAAACCCAAACAGTATTAGCAGTACAGGGATTTTTTTTTATCCTGTATCCAAATAGTGCAGGACCCCTGTAATTTATGAGTTCATTGGTTTATGTACCTGTCTCCAAAATATCCACATTCAAAAGTTAAGTTAGAGATCCTTGTTCAGATAATTCTTCAATGTCTCTTGAGAAATTGCAAATCCTTCTTGTTATGGCATACTGCATAAAATCTGACGTCCCTGATGGGTATTTATTTAGACAAAATGTTGCCAAAATCAGATGTTGAAATAATTCATTGACACAAAATCAAAATCAAATTGTATACTGTACACAATGGCACCGGGAGCAGGGGCAGAACTGGGAAACACTTGTCTCTTGTTTATGTATCAGGGTGTGTTAAATCTCCAATTTTTGGTATAATTTTTTTTAGATGCTTTTAATGACTTGTGTCCCATCACATTAAAGCATCGTCTTCTAGTGAAGACTTCTATTTTGTCTACCACTGGACCATTTGTTATCATTCTTTAACATTATTATGATGCTTTTTCCTGCAACAGTCGATTGGTTTATGGTGGTGGTGGCGGCATGACAGATAACATGCTTGATGACAATGTGTTGGGTTCTGTGGATAATCAGGAAAATGTTGAAGCCCCACATGATCGTGAACATGACCCTCGCAGACGTAGACGACGAGACACCGTCCTTCACCCACCGCAGCCTAACATCAATCAGGTGTGTTAGCTATGTTCCCAGTACTTCATTCAGATGATGCTTTCATTTTATGGCAGTCTTCATCATGGTATCAAGTGTTTTATTCAAGTATTTAAATAACTGTGATTTACCACAGTATTCCGCATTAAAAATAGAGCCCAGATTTGCTAAGAATGAGACCACGAAGGTATGTGATTGATTCAAAATTGAATTCATCAAATAATGTTGCCAGAAGACACTCTGCAGGCAGTAAGTGATGATGGGATGTGAAACTGAGAGGGGCTGGTGGGGTAGCTGGACCACAGTAGCATAGAACCCACTGCTTATATCTCTCTGCTGTATCAACTTCCCGCTCCTTAATTCATGTAACTCGTGTTAGTTTGGTGAGCCCACAGACCACATCGTGGTGTCCTAGGGTCCTGCGTCTTAGGTTCATGTCTGTCTCAGTATCATTGTCTGGTTATTCTGTATCTCTCAAGTAGTGAAAAGTAGAATGATTGCTAGCATCAATTACTTCAATGAGCACGTCTCTGCCCCCATTAGTACAATTGGCAAATACACCCTGCACTAGTAATATATATCACTGGTAGACAAGCTGCACCATTCAGATTAAGCAAAGCCAGTCCCAGCATTCAGTTGGTCATTGTGAATTTGGCGTCTTCAGCAACAGGTGGAGACTAAGGAGCGGGTGCTGAACGATAACAACGTCAATGCCAACATCATCGCCAACACTGAGAAGGACACCAACGAGGTGGAGATGTCACCCAAGAAGAGAAAGGTACAGCCTGCTCTCCCTCAGTCTGGTCAGGGTGTCTTTGCTGTGGTCAGCTTTATCTCTGCTACTGTAGTCAGCCCTACAGCAGTCTAGTCTCTATCTGCCTTGTCCACTTTCTCTTGTTCTGTCTCTTGTCTTCTGCGGCTCTCATTAATGTGTTTTGTAATGATGCTAACATTCTAATGTAGAAGCTTATTGTAAGTACTGTACAGTAGTCAGTTGTGTTATATTATAGTGACTGAATCTTTGGATTAATGCAAATCAGATGCCTCCCCACCAACCCCCTCTGTATTAAGTATGTAACCTGTATCTTTTACCCTCAGCCCTGAATAGCCTCCTCTGTGTTAAGCTAAAGAAGTGTAGAGTGAAACTAATAATTGAAAAGCTACTTTTAATGGAGCCTAACCAAACTTGGCTGTGAGGTACTTTCTATAGATTCATAAATGATTCATAATTTAAGTCAATGGATTTTTAAGCAAAACATTGCCTGCCATATTTGATATATTGATCATGATGAAAGATGAGCCTTTGTTTGTAATAAAATCTCATATCAGAATAGCTGTTACATGTATCTTTGCATAAAAGATTATTTAAGATTTTTTTAACTGTTTATAATTAAAAAAATTGGTAAGTGTCCACATGTCTTAATTTGAAATGCAATATGATATTTAAAGTCGGCTGAAAATAATAATTAATATAAATAAGTTTAATATTTTGATGAGCCAGTGATGAGGAAAGGAATTGGAGAATCGTGGTCATATTGTAAGATTATAGCAGAAGTGTGAGTACATTCTTCAAAAGGATCAGTGTAGTAGCAGCCAGTATTGTAGGAAGCATTAGCATACAATATATTCTCAGCCATGTGGACAATCAACCATTATTATAGGAAGCATTCAAGTAGGAACGCTTTACTAACATACCTTTGCTAGTTTGGCCTATATGTTAATCACTCTAACATGTCTCTAAGAATAGCATTACCTTGTCCTGTAGACTTAACACAACAATGTTACCTTAAAAAATTGCCATTTAGATATATAATCATAGTTGAATATTAGTGAACTGGCAAAGAGATTGTTTTCTGTTAATTTTAAGAATTGTTTCTCAGACCTGTGCAAGAAGAAGAAAGCCTACAGAAGTTGTGCTGTCTAAATCAATTTATTTGTAACATAAAGTTTTGTTGTATTATCCTAGTACTGTAATGATCTACACTCTGTCATTTGGTTTGAGTGTGGAGCCATTACCAAGTTCTTGAGCAGCATCTTGTGCCACATTAGTTGCCTGACCCTCATCTCTCACACAAATACCCTCCTCACCAGTCTGGACCACACATGCCAGCTTCTGCACTACTTGTTGGTTACAATGGCCCATACCTCGTGTCACATACAGCCTACTGTAGTGCTCATACCTCGTCTCACATACAGCCTAATGTAGTGCATCAAGTACCATGTACTATGCCTAGAACTTTGTACCAGTACCCAATACCTTTTACCATACAGCAGAGCATATTATTCCACAGGCTTCTTCCTGTGTTGCATCCAGTAGCTTGTGTGAAACCTAGTATCTTGTATGTAAGCCCCACACCATCACTGTAAATAATTTGCTCCAAACCTGGTACCTTGTACTGCATACAAAACCTTGTAGTATACTTGTCATACCAGTGCTAATTTTGCATCAGTACATACTTCCATAGATATTACCACATGAGATTTTCATTATCAGTAATATTACCATCCATAACACCTTGAACGCTGTACGCAATACCTAGGGCTTTTACCATACTCGGGGATCATGCTAGCAAAAATAGTATGTTGTGACATAGTAGGTATGCATTACCACTCTCCTCACTAAGCATTGTGTAACATTATTCTGTTGAAAGGGAAATATAGCATGTCTTAATATTTGACAGTTTTTTTCTATAGTATATACTCTTCTATTCTATAGTGCACCCAGAATACTGTACCTTACCTGGCATGCTGAACATGCTACAGTCAACTCTTAATGTTTTTAAGAATTTTGTGTAAGTCTAGGATGCTGTACCAAATGTAGTTCATTGTATCATATAGCCTTATTGTACCATACAAACCATATTCTATCTCACATTCAGCATGCTACACTATTTAAATTGAATCACAACTACCATTCTCAGCCAATACTACCATCCCGAACCTCAGCTACCATCCCAAACACTGCTGTACACATTGTTCATTGTACCACACCTACTTTACTACTTCATTCTGCTAAAATACAGTGTGACAGCATAGCATGTGATACATGTTATAGGAGCAGAACAGTATGCTTGTTGTGGGTACAGTGTTTTGAGTGTTGTACTTATTTATTTATGTAGCACTCTGTAGCACATTTATATAGCACTCTGATTCACAATGCTACCATTGTGAATCTACCGAATAACAGCAACTATTGTGAGCCATCCTGAACCACAGCCTCCATCCTGAACACTGCTGTCACTGCTGTACACATTGTTCATTGTACCACACCTACTTTACTACTTTATTCTGCTAAAATACAGTGCGACAGCATAGCATGTGACATAACACTGTGCTAACAATCTGTACCGCTAGTAGCACATGTAATACATTTTTCGCACTCTTTGCACTGAACCACAAAAGGGTGTATTTGGCTAACACTACAGAGTGCTACATAAATAAATATGTACTACACTCAAAACACTGAACCCACACCCAGCATACTGTTCTGCTCCTATAACATGTACCCAGCATACTGTTCTGCTCCTATAACATGTACCCAGCATACTGTTCTGCTCCTATAACATGTACCCAGCATACTGTTCTGCTCCTATAACATGTACCCAGCATACTGCTCCTATAACATGTACCCAGCATATTGTTCTGCTCGTATAACATGTACCCAGCATACTGTTCTGCTCCTATAACATGTACCCAGCATACTGTTCTGCTCCTATAACATGTACCCAGCATACTGTTCTGCTCCTATAACATGTACCCAGCATATTGTTCTGCTCGTATAACATGTACCCAGCATACTGTTCTGCTCCTATAACATGTACCCAGCATACTGTTCTGCTCCTGTAACATGTACCCAGCATATTGTTCTGCTCCTATAACATGTACCCAGCATACTGTTCTGCTCCTATAACATGTACCCAGCATACTGTTCTGCTCCTGTAACATGTACCCAGCATATTGTTCTGCTCCTGTAACATGTACCCAGCATACTGTTCTGCTCCTGTAACATGTACCCAGCATACTGTTCTGCTCCTGTAACATGTACCCAGCATACTGTTCTGCTCCTGTAACATGTACCCAGCATATTGTTCTGCTCCTGTAACATGTACCCAGCATACTGTTCTGCTCCTATAACATGTACCCAGCATACTGTTCTGCTCCTGTAACATGTACCCAGCATACTGTTCTGCTCCTGTAACATGTACCCAGCATACTGTTCTGCTCCTATAACATGTACCCAGCATACTGTTCTGCTCCTATAACATGTACCCAGCATACTGTTCTGCTCCTATAACATGTACCCAGCATATTGTTCTGCTCCTATAACATGTACCCAGCATACTGTTCTGCTCCTATAACATGTACCCAGCATACTGTTCTGCTCCTGTAACATGTACCCAGCATACTGTTCTGCTCCTGTAACATGTACCCAGCATACCCTGTCACACACACGATAATCTGCATCACTCCTAGTGAGCAGTACACATAATAAACAAGGAAATTTTCAAGACAATCTGTTAAGCTTAGGCTATACCTGTAGTAGGATATGGACCACTAGAAAAAATCCACACATCATAAAACACAAAAAGAAGCTTGGAAAAGCACAAAGATTTTCAAGAAGTCTATTACCTGAGTTAACGCTGCTATGCTACGAGGAGAATGGGAAGGGAACCATGGGGAGAAAGTGCCAAGCCATTACAACTATATAGCACTCTGAAGGGATCAGGATAAGGATTTGGGATGGGACAGAGGGAAGGAATGGTGCCCAACCACTTGGACAGTCGGGGGGATTGAACGCCAACCTTCATGAAGCGAGACCATCCAGCCCAAATTCAAATTCAAAATTCAAATGTTTATTCATGTAAAGTACATACATACAAGGGGTGATACAAATATTGATGAATTTTTAGATAGAGCTAGTACATACAATGCCTAAAGCCACTATTACACAAAGCGTTTCGGGCAGGAAAAACACTAAAGACTAAAACTTAATACTAATTGAGATTAAAGTATAAAATGTGTTGAGAAAATATAAAAATAAAAAAGGGAGGAACATGGCAAAAAAACAGCAAAAATACAGCAAAAATCTCCAAGTGGTTGGAGATAAATGGAATTCAATCTTACAACTTGATAGGAGAGGAGCAGCAGCAGGAATATGACAACTACTGTACATACAAAATATTGAGAGACAAAACTGCATGAGGACAGCCTCTAAAGGGAGAGAAAATAGGACAAGAGAACATCAGTGGAAACTGGAAGCATAAATGAGTCAAAGAATTTAAAGTAGTCATACTGAACTTGGACAGTACTTTGTATGGATGGTAAATAAGTATAATGCACGCAAAGAAAGTTATGGAAACCACCTCCATCCACAACATCAAGAGATATATGACACAGAGCTTAAATGCCAAGAGTTTAAAAAATATACAAAAATATACAAAAAGGTAGAAGGCTGGACATAAAAAGCTATACCTCACTCTCTGAATATAATAATAGCATGTTTCATCAGATATAAATGAAGGGATAGCACCTGTCATCAGATATATGCACAAGAATGTAAGAACTCTTGTATTTATAAATAAATAGAAATAAATAAATATAATATATGTAAAGGGATAGCACTTGCCATTAGGTGTGTATGAAGGGATAGTACCTACCCTCAATTACTATGAAGGAATACTACCTGCCATCAGGTACTGTATATACAGTATGAAGGAATGGCACCTATACTCAGGTACATATGAGTGGGGTACTGCAGGGGTTCATTTTGAGGCCAACCTCCAACATGGATAAGAATATTACAAACGACATCATCAAATTTGCAGATGACACAGATTTATGGTAAAGTGTAAAGTGAAAATTATATTGAGGCCTTACAAAGAGAACTCCACAAATGGTCAGATGACGCAATTTTTTTTTAATTAATATCGAAACATTCAAGACCCTCCATATGAGGCATAACAATCCACTCCACAGCTACCAAATGAACAACATTTCCTTGCAGCAGATTGATGAAGAAAAGAACCTTATAGTCTGAATACATCAGTCACCCTAAGTAGCACAAGTGGAAGCTGCGGAAAAAAAAACTAGGAATAATCAAGCTAACCTTTGACTTTAAGGGAAAAGAAGGTACTGTAGTTATTCAACTGTATAAATCTCTGCCCTCGCTTGGATTATTGTATCTAGGTATGAAGACTTCATCATCAGAAAGACACATAGCTGCTTTGGAGAACGTTCAACACCTGGCAACAAAATTTACTCCAGAACTAAGTTGACTCTCATACCAGGAACAGTTGAGAGCCACAGGGTTAACAACATCAAACCAGACATGACAGGACAGATCTTATCAAGACATATTTCTCATTATCTTGTAACTCTTTTTATTAGTTGTGAACTTTAACTCTGTTTTTCTAGCACCATCCAGTTTATTTAATACCTTTCCTTTGTCTATGGTGACTTGAGACTTCCTTTAATACAGGTCGAGGAATTCACATGCGAAAAAGAAGTTGAAGGTGGTGGTGGTGAGAAAGAGAAGGAAGGAAGAATTGAATGTTCCACTGATTGGGATGGTGATGCAGTCATGGCATCAAGACAAGGTCATACCACACCCAGGTATGTTGGTTCATCTAGAAAGATATTTTTCTAAATGCTTCTGCTAGGACCTCCCCTTCATTGTGTGCACATCTAGCTCTCTCTCACACCCTTGTTCACTCTCACGCTCTTGCTCACTCTCACACCCTTGCTCACTCTCACACCCTTGCTCACTCTCACACCCTTGCTCACTCTCATGCCCTTGTTCAGTCTCATGCCCTTGTTCAGTCTCATGCCCTTGCTCACTCTCATGCCCTTGCTCACTCTCATGGCCTTGTTCACTCTCATGCCCTTACTCTCACACCCTTGCTCACTCTTGTTCTGCTTCTTAAAATGCATATAATTAAAAAATAAATTTTGATCCACTAAAATTGTTTACAGTGAGCTGTAGCATTCTGTACCCAACCTAGATGTGCATACAGTGTCAAACATCAACTCCTAGACTGGCCTTTGGAATGTTTTGTTGTACTATACAGTACAGTACTGTAATCCCACCTTTCTAATCCCATCCTACCCACCTCAATTCTCTGATCCCACATACCCCAACCCTCTCTAATCCCACCCCTAACCATCTCTAATCCCTCCCCAAGCCTCTCTAATCCCACCCTAATTTTATTTAATCCCTCCTCCTCCCACTCCAACCCTCTGTAATCCCATCCCAATCTTCTCAGGTCTCAACCACCTCTCTAATTTAGTGCAGAGTAAGAAGAAAGCTTAAACCTTTAATAGAGAGATAATACTTTAGTTTCTCCATAATTAGGTGGTATATAATCAGGCTAGTAGTCTTTTTCCAAGGACACACATTTAGCTTAGCAGCGGTCCGTCTAATTACCAGAAGCTACCCAAAGCTACTCAAAGCCACCCAAAACTTCCTGGCATTACGTTAGTAATGAATAAATATGATAAATTTACTCATTATAATGTTGGTGCTGAATGTAGAACATGGAAAAACATATTTTTACTCTGAAAAGTATCATTTCATAACGAAATTAGACGAAAATAAGCGGCTGGTGACGCCAAAGCAAGTCGACGGCCCAAGTGACAATGTTGTGGAGCGACTTATCCAAGATATATTGTTGCGTACAGGTTATTTTAACTTAGGTTTGGATAGGTTAGGTTTAGTTAGGTTAGGTTATGTTTTGTTAGGTTAGGTTATGTTAGGTTATGTTTGGGTAGGTTGGTTAGGTTTGGGTAGGTTGGTTAGGTTAGGTAGATACAGGAGGCTGATATGCCAGCAAATACTCTTTAGGCAACAAAGTGTCTTGGATAAGTCGCTCCACAACATTGTCGCTTGGACCGTCAACTTTCTTTGGCGTCACCAGCAGCTTATTTTCGTTTAATTTTGTTATGAAATGATACTTTTTCAGAGCAAAAATATGTTTTTCCATATTCTACATTCAGCACCAACATTATAGTGAGTAAATATATCATATTTATTCATTACTAACGTAATGCCAGAAAGCTTTGGGTGGCTATGAGTGGCTTTGGGTAATTAGACAGACCCCTTGGCAGTAATTTATACATACTTTAAGCTCCAGAAATTTGAGAGCCTTTCATGGATGGTGTCAGTGTTCACAAGACTAGTAAGAAACTTGATAATTAATGGAGACAATTTTCTTGTTGCTTGTTATGGTAATTCCTCCAAACTTCCCCCTTTTCAATTGCCTTTTGAGCTTTTAAAGTTCTAGTGCCAGGTTTCTCTTTTAGTCCATGCAATGATCTTATGCTCCGTTGAAGCTTTGGCAGCACTGCACCACTACTGGTGCAGCCCTTTAGAAAGTGCTTGAGGTCTGAATTAGCATTGCAGTTAAGAGTTTTGTAGGGGTTTTGTACACTTGAGAGGATATAGCTCATCCATCTAAATTAGTGCTGCAAAACAGAATGTTGGGATCATATAGTGGCTGTCCCTCTCACATTCTTATGGTTACATATGTGGGTTGTACATGTTTCTTAAAAAAATAATTGAAAGTGACTTTGGGGCATTACAGGGGAGCTGGTGGAGATGACAACAAGAACAGGAAACCCCTAGCAGTGTTAAGGTTATCTTCTGTGGACACTGCAGCAGATGATGTAGACATGAATGTGGAGCCTGCTAGCAAGAGGGAAGACCAGGTAATTTATTTTTGCTAGACTACTCATTATTTATGCTGCTTCCTCTCATTTTGACATTATTATCTTGTTCACTACTAGGGGGGGTACCCAGCTGCACCTGGGTCTCTCTCTTTTTCCCATTCCTCCCCCCCCTCTCTCCCAATCTCTGTACTTTTATCTTTCTTTCCCTATCACCCCTCTCCTCTCCTCTTCTTCCCTCTCTACCCTCTCTTCCAAACTTTCCCCAACATCTCTCCTTGCTTTCCCTTTCTTCAAACATCCCTCCTCTACCTTTTGACCTTTTCTTCTGCTTTGATCTTTTCCTCTCATTAATTAAATAGAACATGCCCAGTCCTGTCTGTACCTTTTTCATAATTCACTTGGAATTAAATAGATGCTTGGGCATTATCATATATGTATGTGTAAATATATTTGTCATTGTTCAAAAAAAGCTTTATGTAGACAGAGTACATGATGCTAATGCATTTTATTTTTAGTATTCTGTCCAGGATGCCAGCTACGTAAGCTTCCAAGATGGTGGACGGTTAGCGAGGATAGAGCCGAGTGCTGGGGGTGTATCTCCAGGAGGCTCTACACCTCCCACAGAAGGCGAATTCCACCCACATACACGTGACCATACTCCACATCGCCGAACTCATCATAAAAGGTCAGCCTGTTACAGACTATACCTTCAAAAAGCATAATTCAGGACTTATTCCACATATTCTACCCAACAGATTCATATAACAAAGTATATGTTAAACAAACGTAACTGCAATAATTATAGTCTAAATACAGTGGCAAAGGCAAGAAGGCTAAGATATGCTATATTTGTCTCATTCAGCATAATATTTGCCATTTGTAATATTTAAAGCAGGGTAATTCATACAGAATATTCAGCAAACCTTATTTTAACTACTGTATAACCGTGCAATCATTTAGTATCGTAAAAGCAATGCTTGAAACATTTACAAAAAAATACTCGAATATATCTTGAGTTTGGGCTGTCAATGAAGGGAAACAGTTTCCAGCTGCTTGCACAATAACAAAAAGTGGGATATTTTTCATATAAATAATATATGCTGGATATTGATTATGTGTCTTTGGTTTATCTGGCACCAGGAGTCTCGGATTTGGCAGGTGAGATTGTCAATATGCCCCTGCTCCCTGCTGATTTAGCCGAGTCCATCTTCTCTGGTCTATAACTTGTGTCTTTATTCTGCCATTTTCACTATTTTGAAAAGTTAGTTTTAGAAGCAGTACTTTTTACCTATCAGCAGAGATTTCATACTTCTGGAAATTAAAATGTGTCACTTTTTATTTGAGTGAATATTTTAAGACTGGTAATATGCTAGTTAGCCTTGCATATATGTTGTTGGTTAAGTGTTTGTGAAATGTGACCCCAAAGCCTGTAGGACAAGTTTATGTTAGCACTAGAAGGGCTAAATATAATCATTAGATTGTTATTTTGATTCGTATCTTCGCTTGATCATTTATTCAGAAACGTATCCTTTTAACATCATCCATGTTTAGAGTGGCATAAAAAGATAAATATTTTGTTTGAGCTAAGTAAAAAAAAAATTAAAATACAGGAAGAATAACTAGCAGTTGAAGGGTACATTGATTGTAGCACATGATATTGTTGTTTTAGTGTGATTTTAAAAAATTGCTTATTTAAAGTTTGCTGTTTAATTAGTATACATGTCATCCTTATATTATACGCAATGTCAATGGTCCTCTTCCAATGTGATGACCAGATTGCACACCTCCTTATGTTGGTTAGTTCTTCAGTTTTGCAGGTCTGTTGAGATTTCGTCATCTTTTCTCTGTATTCTTAGAGCTAATATGTGGGGCTTTATGGGAAACTTTGGCAATTTTCCTTTTAATTCTTGCAAATACATTGCATGTAATATAGGCACTGCTATTTTTCCCTATTCACAATGCTTTTGAAAGATTGGGTCTTCATTCTTATCCTGTACTTGAGTTTAATATCAAGAAATCATTATATTTGTTTGAAAGATGTCTAATGTATATAATATGTCTTGTAAGACATGTGTTATAAGCTTATTGTTACCTGGCTCAGTAAAAGCTTGCTCATATGTAGAGCTAGGAAACAGTTATATTTTAAATAATTCAACCAATCAAGGAAATAATTTGCATCCAAATTTGTTTGTTTTGAGGGCTAATGTAATGCACCTGCTGACTTTTAGTTTACATGCAAAGGATGTGCAATTGAGAAAGCTCTTCCCCATTTCTATAGAAGTTTTACTTTTTTTATGCAAAGAGGTTCTGAATATGTTATACAGTGGAACCTCCAAAATCAGGACTTTGAGTTAACAAACATAAGTAAATAACAAATAAATTTTACTTCTGAATAGTCTATCTAAAATTTGGATTTTGATCAGGATTTAAACAAAATTTTTATTGAGATCTGAATCATCACGTACCATGCAATAGCTGTATAGTAATTTCCAGTAGATTTTTTGTAGTAACTACCCCACGCTTATGCATTAGTCTCACTAAGACTAAGGATCGTGTCAGACATCTGAGACTCGTGCTAACCTACCAGGAGCCAGAAGCAGAATCTAGCTCTTTTTATGATGTGAGAGGGGTGGGGGGAGGGGTGCCTGGGTATCAGAGTTCTGCCTAAAGCTAAGAAAACAACCAGAAAGTTTGGACAAAACAAAATAAAATACTACTTGACAGGAAGAAATTAGTATTGAGAAAAATAAGGCCAATAATAGTTGTCACAACTGAACATCCCTAACTCTAATGTGCCAGGCTGCCACCAGATACCTGGTTGATGGGGTTCTGGGAGTTCTTCTACTCCCCAAGCCCAGCCCGAGGTCAGACTTGACTTGTGAGAGTTTGGTCCACCAGGCTGTTGCTTGGAGCGGCCCTCCAAGTGGAGTGGAGATGGTAGGCCTGTTCACTCTGGACTTGCAGCCTGCCTTCCACTTTACTCATAGATCTGGTATTGCATGCCTCAGAGGCTTCTGCAGGGACCTACTGATGTTTCTTAGCCAGTTAAGTGATGTTAATTTCCCTGGAACTATTTGTTAACAGGGTATTGCTTTATTTTTGGTGCCATTTACAATTCATGATTGTATTTAATACCACACATATTGTGTGTGTTCTATCTTTTATTTTGCTCCAAATTTGGGGCAAGGTTTTTTTCCAGTGGTCATCTTGGGTCTTCCTTGTTCCATTAAAATGATATATAAAGAATTTTGGTGACTCCTATACATGTCGGCTCGTTTTGAGCCACCTTACATCTTGGTAGTTCATGGGATTTGACTACCATTATAAGGCCTGTTCATGGTGAGTTTATGTAGTTGGTTGTGTGCTGATGAATGTGTTGTTTGACCTAGATTTGTATGTATCTTGGTACCTTGGTTCTTTTCCAGGTTTGCATTTGGGTTTTATTAAGAGATTCTTCTTTATCCATGGCATCGTGCACCCTTTTTCCACATTCCAGGAGACCACTGGGTCTCAGGTTTGCTATGTGGTGTTGAGCAACTTTCGGTTCACTTCCCTGAATCTGCAGAATCCATATTGGCATATTCCCTGCACTATTTAGAGGTTTAGGGACTGGCTGCAGCTCAGAGCAGGACACACCTGTTTCCACCAAACCTGACATTCAGAATCTACACTAGATTGAGTTGAATAGTTCTACAACTTCGTCATCTCAGGATTTGTGTTTTGGCCCACCTCAATAACCGACTGATTTGGGTTCCTGTTAATTTTACTTCTCTGCTAGCTAGGGATCGGTTTCATAGTCAACTGGTTGAAGTCTCAGTTGGTACCTTCTTAGGTTCTACTTTGGTTGGGGTTGGTCTGTCATATCAGGATGTCCTCTAATTCTCTACTATGATTGACCCTTCTGCAGCTGGTCAACCATCTCCATCTAGTGCTAAAGAGGTCTCTGCCATCTTTTCCTATGGGTGAGCAGTTTATCTATTCTGGTTATTATTTTGCTCTTTTTCATCATTGTCTTTCTCCTCTCTGTTAGCACTGGACAGCTACTAAGGGTTCTACTCCTAGAACACCTCCTTCTTGTTTATACTGCCTCTCCTCTTTTATTATCTATTATTCTCTGATGAAGATACTGTAGCATTATGCATTACACTCATCAGTTCAACTCCATTATTGTGATGATTTTTGGCTGTAATTGTCACGCTTTTTTTGCAGCTCTCTACCTTTGTAATTCCATCTGCAGTCATGATAGTATATACCTTTAACCTCTCTAACTTCGCACGCTAAATCGAATAAATTATTGGCGAGCGTAGGAAAAATATTTTCCTTTCTATATTGTAAAACATTTCTATCAGAGGGTGGGAAACAAATTCTTATCATTTTAGTTTGGCTATAATGAGAAGAAGAAATGTTGTAAATGGCAAATTCTGAGAATTGATTTTCAAGTTAATTGTTTGTAATAGATTTCTCCTTATCACTAATATCTTCCGGGTCTATAAAATTCCTTAAAATTTTGCATAACATCAATGGTTCCTAGCATGGGCATCATTAAATGGATGCTCACTTTTTTTACTAATTCCCAGAAAGGAAGCTAAGGCTTTCAGGATTTCAACATGGCAAATGATTGCCAGTGGTTTCTAGTGTTGAATGAGATCCACATAGAATCTTAAGACCCTTTTGAATATTATGGGGCACATTAAATCTCCCACAGGCAATTGGCACACATAGGATCCTCTCACTTGAGGGTTACAGGAGCAATTTAATTCCCACTGGGCTACTTATTTTCAGCCAAGAGGGTACACATTACAGTTGGTCTAAGCCAATTCTTTAAGGATGATCTACATGAGGTGTTATTCTCACCTATTTCATTTGGTGGATAAATGGATATCCATCTGGCAAGGGCATGTGTGTGTGCTGTTTTGCTGTTGTAGAGGCTCCACTCCCTGTTTTTATGGTTCTACTTTTACCTTACTTGTGTCATTTTCTGCTACTCTTGCATTTTCTCTATGAATTGTTTCCTGGATTTTTTCTGTTTTATACTTATATTCCATCAATATGGCCTAACTAATGTACAATTCTTGGTAATTGCTCCACTTTTTCACAATTTCCTCTTTCCTGCTGGTATATACTCATTGCTTCTAACTCGTCTGATTTAATAACCTACTTTACATGCGAGCATTTTGCTGCATCTGCAAAAAGGTTTTATTGGTCCTGATTTCGACTGATTTGCCACAAATCACTACTTGACATTACTCCATCTTTCTTACTTTTTGTCCCTTCTTCCACTGCTTGTCCTAGCATTGAATAATGTTTGGATTCCAGCATGTGACCATAGGTCTAAATTTCTTCACCCAGTTCTTTAACTGATCCAGATCATGGATATACTATTTCTGTCATTCTTTTCTTGCATTTCTTCTACTTCTTTTTAGGCTGCAATGTGTTGCTCATCACTCCTGGTTAGCTTCATTTTCAGATAATCTTTGACTTTTCAATTCTTGTCCTTTTGTTTTCTTTCCTCCATATTTCCTGATTACTGTAGTTATATTTAGTTGATCCTCGTCGGGAATTCTTTGTCCTGAGTGTGCAACGCTCCCTTTCTGTCATTAGTGTCCCTGCCCTGCTCATTCCTCTAATAACCTTGAGTTTGTCCCTCATATTTTTCTCCCTTCTTATCTTTCCCGTCAGTGGGTGGACAGTGGGTGGACAAGTGCGAGTAGGCGGGGATGAGTGTGGGCAGGGGTGAGTGTTATTGCCTATTTGTTATTATATATTTGTAGTTACAGTTAGAGAGCCGTGCTCATAGTGTCCCACCTTCCTTGTATAGAATATCACAAGTAGTCTTAAAACTTTCATTGGTTTTAGCACACACAACTTCCTCCTGGAGTTTACTCCAATCATCTACAATACTGCTTCTAAAAAATTACATCCTGTTATCTATTCTACATCTTTTCTTCTGAAGATTTCAACTATGATTTCTAGTTCTGCTTATATCTGGTTTCAAAAACACCATACAGTCTGTTTTATATATCCATTTTACAAATCTCTATGTGGTTATCGTATACGTTCTGTTCTCTCTTTTTTCTGTTTTAAAATTTGCGTTTCTCTAGATCCTTAAATATCTCCTTGTACATCATACTTCTTAATTCTGGAATCTATTGTGCTGCATGTCTCTGGACTTTTACATTTTATTAATTTGTTTCTTTAGATGTGGACACCGTACAGCAGCTGCATATTTCAGTTTAGGTCAACCACAATCTGTCTCATAGGGATTCTTTGAGTGAAAAGAATCACTCAATGTAATTTGATTGAGATGAGATTGAATCCAGTCTCAATCTCAATCATTTGAGATTGAGATTGGTTCTCAATCGAGAACCAATGGAATTCTCGATCGTGCATTGAGAGTGAACCCGACTGTACTACCGGGACCCTCAAGTAAACCAAAATAATAAAAAAAAAATATTGTGGCTATATCAACATATAGCTACAATATAAATTGACAGAAGTGATTACACTGGTGAAGATACATGTCTTATGACTAATAATGGGGGATGTGGCTAGTACATGCTAGAGTGAGAGTTTGAAGCACAAGGTAGGAAACTATGAGGATGAAATTAGGTACTTACGGTTTTACTTTTGATTAAGGCATAGGTTGGACAATTTTTTAAATTCATTAGAGAGTGAGTTCCATAGACTGGGTCCTTTTATTTGCATGGAGTGTTTGCACAGATTTAGTTTGACTCTGGGGATATCAAAGAGATATATATTTTTGGTGTGATGCTCATGGGTTCTATAACACCTATCAAGGAAAACTTTCAGATCAAGATTAGCATTTAGGAACAAGGTTTTGTACATGTAAATAGCCAAGCCCATCTTCCTGTTTAGATAGAACCTATTGTGATGATCGTCAATAGTCAGAATTCGTACTTTTTAGCTTTTAGATAGCAGTATACTGACTAGTAAGGAATTCTTTTAAAATAAATGAAGCTAAAACAAAAACTTAAATATTCCTAGGCCTAGTATAGCACAACATATGTACTAGTAGGCCTCAGCTATCGTGTATTAGGCTTAGAAACATTTACATTAACAACCACAAAAGTTAAACTTTATATACCAGTCATTACAGTGAGATATGTAGTAACATGTACAGTATCTGGGTCTCTGGGATTTTTCTTGCAAGGTTAGCACCAATTGATGAAAAGAAGCTATTGAATTCAGTTGCCATTTCTAAACCTGTTGCTGGTGTGTGTAACTATCCTCGGTGAGTTTTATCTGCTTGTTATGTGATTGTTGTTTAGATCCTAGGATGTTAGAGATGGCTTTCCATGTGCTTTTCATATTTCCTTTTGCTTCTTTAAATTTATTCTCGCTAAAGAAAAGTTTGGCTCTTCGTATTATACTGATAAGCATTGATGAGTATCTCTTAACTTCTTCTTTTGTAACTAGGCCAATCCTATGTTTTTTTTCATATTCATGTTTCTTGATAATTGCTTTTAAGTATGCCACTTGTGAGCCAGGGGTTATTTAGTCATTTGGCAGTTACTTGCTTCGTGAGGAGAGGGCAGTGCGTGTTGTAGAGGCTTAGAGTTTTGTAGAAAAAGATGTTGGCTAATGAATTTATATCCTGTGTATTATATAATTCAGATTCCCAGTTTATATTATGAAGTGCATTTATGAGGTTACCTATTGCTGCTTCAGTCTGTAGTCTAAGGAAAGTTTCTTGGTATCCAAGGGTGTTATGTCCATGTTTGCTGAGAGGAAGGTAGGATAAGTGATTGGTTGTTTTATCAGTGATTATTCCAGAGGAAAGGGATGGGCTGTTTTCACATTATGTAGATCTCAATGGGCCTATTTCCACTCTTCCGTTTTTTCATTACATGGCATTTGTCAACATTAAATTTAATTGCCCATTTCTTGCTCTATTTACTTTGTCCAAATTTGACTGAAATTTAATACAAATACAGTCATTCTGAGTATTTACTTTGCTTATTCAGTAATTTTTGCATTGTTCATGAGCATGTTCAAGCAATTTTTCACACCATCAGGCAAATCATTCGTATACAATATATCAGGGATCTTTTCAAGTTGTCTCTGCATCAGCGCATTAGGTGCTTAGAAATTACTTGAAGAGTTTCCCTGCAGCTCAGAATGACTACCCACTCATAAAAACTCAACAGCTCCTCTGAAGACTCAAAGATGTTCATCCAAAGAGGGCTTCCACTAACTACTAGTTGCCTTGCCTGGCCGTCTACCTGAAACACTAAACACATTTTTGGGTTTCCTGATCTGTTATTTTTCCACCTCACATAGTTCCTAATGTAAAACAGATTATCTGCACACAGAAGTGTAGTAGCAAAGGATGGAGCTGGAGTAGCCAAATGATCTGTACTGAAAGCTCCTTTTCATATCAATTCAAAGTATCGCTTTTTTTTACCTATCCCATTTGACTTTTCCCTAAGTAAGAATCTAAAATGGACATACAAATAAAGAAGGAAAAAGAAAGAGGAAGGCTCACTTATGATGCAGAGTGGTGCTCGAGGAATAGTTGTGCATCACCTAATACAGGTGAAGATTGAAGCCAGGGCAAATTTCCTACCTGAGACACTAGTGTATTGTGGATTTGGGCAGATTTCTTGCTGACTTTCTCTGGTTATGGCTGTGCTGGTAATTATCAGCCACTACCCAAGAAAGATAATGGAAAGTGTCAGCCCAAATTTACACTGATATTTTCTGTAAATATGCTGTATGAGAAAAAAAAAAAAAAAAAAAAAAAAAGAGTCCTGTATCAGGTCAAGAAATTGTTTTCCTCCACTTGTGATGTTAGACTCACCCAATCTGTTGTCTTGTTATTTATTTTATTTATTTATTTATTTATTTATTTATTTATTTATTTATTTATTTATTTATTTATTTATTTATTTATTTATTTATTTATTTTGTAGTTAAACTCCCCCATTATAAGGGCTTGGGTTTCCATTGCAACACTGATGACATGCAGATCATTAACTTCCTCTGCTGTTACTGTGTCTGACCTCTAGCATACTCCCTTTGTCAGTTTGCTACCATTTTGAGCTAGTATAAAATATATTGTGCCTGTTAGAACCTTATCAAATCAAAATAGATACATGGCTTGTGCTCATAAAGGATCTGCCCGAAACACTATACATGTCAGTGGCTTTGCAAGACTCTAAAAACATCAATGCTATGTACTCTTATAAACCCAATGTACCTTCTTGTGAGAGTCATTGTTGATATATCAACTTATAAATTTTATTGAAAATATGAAATCATTTAATCCAGGCCAACAACAAGAGTTATTAATAATAAACCAAAATTTAGGCATAGTGTACACAGGTTTTGCAAAAGCATTTGATAAAATGAAAGCTAAGGAAATAGCTGATAAAGTAGGAAAGTGAATTTTGAATTTGCTAAGAAATTGATTGCAAACAGTGCTGGTAAATCTAACAGAATCCAGCCTGAGTATTGTATGATGTTCAGTCCCACAAGGTACTGGCCTCATACCATTACTATTTCTCATCCTCATAGCAGATATAGACAGGAACACAACCTACAGATTTGTGCCCTTACGATTAAATGTTATTAAAAAAAATCCTTTTCATAAATTATTTACTGTACAACACTTAAACTATACTTAACATTAAACAATACAGCTAGTATCAATGTAACTTTCTTGTGGGCTGTGGTGTACTAGCTATGGAATGAAAGCTAAGCTCATGGTGTCCTGTCCTCCTGAATGTTTCTCTAATGAGTCCACACTGATCTTGTTGGAGTCTGCTGTGTTCCTTGGGAAGCGAGACATTGCCTGAGGATGAGACAGAGTGGCTTGCTCAGAAAGCAATTTTCTGCCTACACTCAAAACAATTTTTATTATATTTTAAGTGTTTTTATAATAAAAGTCCATGTTTATAAATTTTATTGTGTGTGAAATTATGCAAAAGTGTGTTATATCATTTGCAGTACAAATAATGAAAATTCCTAAGTACTGTATTTGAAAATTCCTAAAATATTTTGAAGTCCAGAACATGTATGGAATGATATTGTCCAGATCTTTGAGGTTGCACTGTATATTGTACACAAACAATTACACCTTTGTATAAGAGAGTAAAATTATTTAGTATCTGCTAGTGACTATGCAAATGTGTGTGATTTTTTCTTTTAGGTAATTGAATGGTATTGAAGTGATTTAGAGTACAGTTTTCCTTTTTCCTTTTAGAAAGTTACAATATAACAGAAAAAACAGATATAAGAAACAATTGTCATTATTTCAGCACCAAATCTTCCTGTTAAATTCCAGTCATATAGTGTAAGCATGTACCGTACAGTATTCTGAAACACTCGGTACACTGTGTACATAATGTACTACATTACTGCGCTTACAAACAAGAATATTTGTAGTGATAAGATGCCACTGTCACTTGATCAATTTTATTATAGTGTTTCTTATTAACATTGTTATTTTGATCATGATCAATTACTTAAATAACTTTCTGTGTATTCGTAGGTTCCATCCTGTCCAACGAGCCAAGTATCTGGGTCACAGAGACCTCTCTATAACGCAGTTTGCTTTGGCTGACGATGACAACATGTCTCAGCCAGCCACTAAGGGTGGTGGATGTGGCCTTACTCTTGCATCACAATGGAAATCGCAGTTTGATGACTCTGAGGAAACAGACAATGAGCTTAAAGCTGACAATCTGCAGAGTCCAGAGCACAAGCAGCGTCTCACTGTAAGTCACTCCTTGAGTAACCTAGTAATTTGCACACTTTTAGAACAAACAATAGCTCTCTGTAAGTAGTTTACACATATTTATAGATTCCTGCTGGACCACTTGAGCAGAACACAACACAGTGTAAGTATTCTTATATGTAATACATGTAAAAATTTCTTTTAGTACAATATGTTACAAACATTTTCATACTACAGTATAGAATTATATAAGTAAACACTCCATCATGAGTAACTTGGTATAAGCGATCTGTCACATTTGTTCTCAATAGCTGATAGAGTATCTGAATCCTGGATAATCAACTGTAAGTACTCTGATCATTTACTCCAACTTTGATTCAAACAACGATTCCTCGTGTGTAATCGTAAGTACCTAGTAAAGCATTTTTGTAATTAATAATAAAATGACTGTTTTTACTCCTTGTAATACACATTATATAAACACAAAAAATAATTAAATCCCAACTTACTCCACAAATTAAATTAAATGATAATTACTAAAAATGTAGATGAATGGTACAGTATATAGTATATAATCATTAGGGCATACAGTGCACATAAAGGATCAGCTAGAAATGCTCAGAGTACTTACTTGAAAGGCCTTGTATAGAAGCACAGGCATTATCCATGTTCTGTATGCATGTGTGACAGTGAGTTTCTGTGCTAAGAAACACTTGTCATGGCTCTCAGCTGGTGTCTCCTTCATCCCGTGGGCCTGATGACACCACCATGACACCTGTGCAGGAGGTGGGGTCCACTGAAAAATCTCGGCGAGCTGCTACTGAGCTCTCCAGAATCAGTGAGGATGACCGCCATCGCTCCTCTGACCACCACACCCACACTCAGGTCTGATCCCTTACTAATCGCTAGCTTGCATTCTGTCTCTCATCAACTACCATGCTTTAAACCTTATCCTGTCTGTTCACTGGTCAGTGCTTACATGCATCATCCTTTTTTCTGCTTTCTGCTCTATACTATATTTTAATGTGCTTGGTCTCTTGTCAAGTTTTAATTTGATAATATGCTTAGTCTCCTGTCCACTTTAGATCTGACACATATCTCTGTGTATATTATATTATGATCATTACAGCATTTCACCTTTTTGATACATCTTAAATGCTGTATATTTTATAATGTTTGCTTTTACCATACCTTGCTTGCTTCTTATATAGAAAACATAGCTTATTTACAGTCATATATCACGTACAGTATATGGCCTTCCAAACATCCATTTCCTAAATAGGACTTATTCCAGTGAGAATTGCAAAGTTCTCTACAATACTATCAGAATTTATCTGTCCCCATTGTCCTAATTTAATATCTACCACTATAAATATTGTATGTAGTACTGTATTTGCATATATCTATTGTTTCTCATCAGTCCCATGTAGATCTTTTGTGTATATACTGTCATTCAAATATTTTTTTTAGTTTTATATTTCCTTCCAATCATTTTGTAATTTTTCACGTCATGCCAGTTATTGAGCTCTCATTAATATATTCCTGTCATGGCGTCAGGTATAGTGTACCTAATATTGTTTATGTACATCAGCCCCAAGCTCACCTCTCATCTGATAACCATGCTTCATTGTTTGTATATGCTACGTGCACTTTTGAACTAGTTTGTATTTTCAGTTTTAATGTACAGCAACTGGTTAAAGAAATAAGGTACAGTGCAGTTGAGATATGGAAGTAAAGATTGTTATCATAATTGTATGAGACTACATTTTGTTTTCATTGAAAGAAAAAGAGAGTTTAATTATATTACAGAAACGGGAAGCTTTTTCATGGTGTGCCAGTTTCTTTGTGATTACTGATAAGTCACAAAAATCAGTTTTAAGTAATATTTTACTTTATTATTATGATCAGATTTCAAATTTGTATGAAATAAGTAAATTCCAAATTTTCTGGTCTAGAAATTGAGTATTTTGTCAAAATTAAATTAAGTTGAAAATTACAGGGAAATAAAGATTTAAAGTAATAAATAACAAATTAAAATATAATTACTTCATTAAATTTTTATTTATTTATATACAAGAAAGTACATTGGGTTTATGAAAGTACATAGCATTGATGTTTTACATTCTTGTAAAACCACTAGCACGCATAGTATTTCAGGCAGAGGCTACAGTTAAGGATTTGCGCCCAGTAAATCCTCCCTGGCAATCCCTTCTCACAGGATCTACCTATACAGCATTCAACATCAAATTTAGTACTATAATATAGTACAACAAGAATTATTAAAAGTATGAAAATTTAAGCAATAGATGAAATTTTCATACTTTCAGTAAGTCTTGTTGTACAATATTATAGTACTAAATTTGATGTTGAATGCTGTATAGGTAAATCCTGTGAGATGGGGTTATTAGCAGTCTCCATGGCGTAGTGGTAAGATGCTCACCTGGCGTTTCGTGAGCGCTTTTTCCTGGGTTCGTATCCTTGCCAGGGAGGATTTACTGGGTGCAAATCCTTAACTGTAGCCTCTGTGTACCCATCAGAAAAATGGGTACCTGGTGTTAAATGATTTGGTGGGTCGTATTTCAGGGAACATAGGATTAAGGACCTGCCCGAAACGCTATGCTTGCTAGTGGCTATACAGGAATGTAAGAACTCTTGTATATATAAATAAACAAATAAATAAATAATTAAATTAGATGAACTCACAGTTAGTTTTTTATCTACACTTCATAATCTTTCATATAGAATAGGGTAGCAGCCCATTGCTGTGTATACCAAAAAAATAAATTGTTAATAAAAAATAAAAAAATTGGGTAAATAATCATCCTAAGAGAAATATTGCTTGATTACATCAGAAAGGTTGTCGTTTGTACTGGTATTGTCGGCTTAACCAATACATTTTCTTCAGAAAACAGGATTGCATAGTAGGAAGAAATAACATTTGTCATATTATGATTAGAAGGATTTAAATTTTGTTTCAGTGTGAATAGTTCCTGTAAATGTATTTAAAAAATACATATTACAAAATAAAAAATAAAAAATACATTGAATTGGCAAATGTGTAAGTCTCATATAATTTTGTTATTATTAGTATATTCCCTGGTGTTTAAAAACATTTTATTAATTGCTGAATAACAATGTATACTACCATGTTTTAAAACTGGACAAACTTCAAGGTGCATGTAAAATATGTTCACCAGTCCTGCTTTTACTTCATAGTCTGTTGTTAAATTAAATCTACCTTCCGTAATCCTTCTTTTAATAGGACCTGATCCACACACATTTGCTTGACATGTCAATTTTTGTATTATTATTGTACTCAAAAGTCAGTATAATTCTATGATTTTAAAAGGTAAGCATTCATTTTTATAACATTGTATTCGACCTTTATTATTTTTATTATGAGTGATATTTAATTAAATCTTGTTAAGTAACAGCAGTTAGGAAAGTGTCTTGGATTCTTAAGGGGTGATACTGAAATGGAGAACAATATCAGTCGCGACACATATACCCGGTACTGTAATGAGTACCACTCGTATGTTTACTATGGAATATTCATAATTTATTAAGTACTGCAGCAACAGCAGAAGGTCTTTTAAAGTGTGTAGTATTGTAGAGCTGATTAGTTTCCTTCCTTCAGGCAATAACACTCAATAGTTCCAGCTAATATGTTAGCTGCTTGTACCTAAGATGGCAAGTTAGAATGAATACCAGAGACAGTAGAGATTAATATAGTTAATATAGTTAGGCATGTATACTTCAAAGTTGAACAAGCAAGTATATTATGGATCATTTGATGTATCAAGTACATCAGTACATATCCTGGACAGGCCCCCATTTCTCTGTTATGACCATAGCAATGCTCATAGTCCTAGATTCCCCACTCTCAATATTGGGCACACTTGGCCTAAAATAAACAAGTCTAAGGATAGGGAAATGTATCACAAAAGACTACTAGTTTACTGAGTAACTTCACAATAAGAATATTTACATTATATACATGGTACATGAGACTTACTGGTAGTAAACAGTGGTACACTAGACTTTGCTAGATGCTTCTAAGTTAAACTGGTCATAAGCTTAATCCTTCGGCTGCACATTCCAATAAGTAGTGGGTTGGCTAATTATGGCCAAACTGCGCATCAGAGCGTGAGATGTATTATGGTTCAGTATAAGCTTTTAAAACTCCCGTGGATACACGAGACTCACATCGGTTTTCTTAGGCCTTAAGTAACCAGAATCCATATTGAAAAAAAATTGTGGACACTGTTCCTGGGTGTGAAGGTAGTAGTACTGAGTGGGCAATCAAGGCTGGCACTAGCAGCATGAGCTAACAGCACCACAGTTCAGCATGTCTCCACAGCAGCACTTAAAAATGACAGAGTACCACTGTGGCCTGCTGCCACTTTTGTAGATTGGAACTATGTTAGCCTTTTTCTATATATCTGCCAGGATTCCTGGACACAGAGATAACTGAAAAATCAATTGAAGTGGAATGCTGAACTCGTGTGTGCTTTCTCTCGGAACCCAAGGCGAAACTGGGCCAACTGCTTTGTTCCTACTTAGCTCCTTGAACCTTTTTTTCCACTTCATCTTTTGATACTTCTTTGTGCTTTATGTTGTTCTCTGGAAGTCTTATTGTGTCTGATTCTCTAAAAAATTATTTTGCACAAACACTTTGGAACTGGTCATTTAATGTTTCACACATTTCCTTTTCATTTTTTGTGAATCTGTTTCCCATTTTTAACCTCAGAATTTCAGCCTGTACCTGCAATTTGCTTTTAATGAATTTTAAAATAGACCTGGTTCTTTTTTACATTTGGTCGCTATCCCTTTCTCAAAATTTATTTTTGCCTCTCTTCCCACTGGTGTGTAGTTGTACAGTATTAATGATACAACTATATGAAAAAGGCAACTAAAAGAGACAATAAACATACCAATATTGATGATATCTTTGTTTAAAAGTTGAATGGACATACAGTACTGTATTGACCCTGCGGCTGTGATAAAGACGAACACTTGCTTCACATTAATTTTTCAGTGCAGTAAGGGAGTTTTACCAAATGGCTCAAAATAATAGTTTCTACATCCTAAAACTGGCTTTCCAGACGTCTGACTTTCAGAAAAAATTGCATAAATTGAAACAAGAAAATGCACCTGATGTGGGACATTAAAACCCATCAAGAATAATTTGTTCTTGCTCAAGACTTTGTCACCATTATAGTTCCCTATATTGCGGACAGGAAACCTGTACATAGGCATATGAAGGTACTCCTAGGCAAACTGCTGACCTTCCCAAGGATTTAACATCAGCAGTTGCCCAGCTCTGCAAAAGGAGGGACCTTTGACAAGCCGCCGGCTTCCAGTCCTCATCAAGGCCACTAGTGTTAGTGGATCTCAGGTAAACTCTTCTCTTGGGTACCTATTTACAACTTGATAAACAGAGGCATTAGGTGAAAGAAAACTTGCCTTACCACAGGAGTCACACCCAGAACCCCTCGGTTCTGAGCCTCTGAACAGCACGACTATAATTATCAATGGTAAATATGAAGAGAGCATTCTTCAAATGAATGTATGGTAAAAACATTTCTAATAACTCTCTCTGGTATATATATGAAAAGAAAATGCGTTTTTCTATTATTTACCTGATTTATACGTGTGATACAAAAAATTATGCCTATTCGTTGTTTTTATAATGATATTCTGTCTTGTGAACACATGAAACAGTATGATCATACTGTATTTTCTTTTAAAAATGGAGACTTATTAACTGTTTTATTTGTACTGTACATACCTTGGTGATTGTGTGGTACATTCATGCAAAGCCAGTAACATGCTCAGTGTTTCAGGCGGGCCCTTTAGCTGACCAGTTTTTACTTTGTTATATC